CTTGATCCTCACAACACCCTAGGAAAGCACTTTTATCGTTCCCTTTTACAGAGGCGAGACTGAGACAGAGACAGAGAGGTTAAGTAACTTGTCTGAGTTCACACAGCAGGTCAATCGCAGAGCCAGGCATTTAGACCACAACAGTGTGAGTCCAGAGTCTGCTCTTAAGAGGACCAAGCCTCTTATCTTTGAGACTGTCACCAGAGTTTTGGTTCATTTCTATACTTGGCACTGAAAACAGAATTTTTTCATTTTCTGGATATCAAGTTGGACATGCTTTTTCAGATAGCATGTGTTGCTTCCCACTTGAAGTCCCAGATAACAGTCCTACAGATGCCCTGGCCACTGATGTGCACCAGCTGAGACTCTGTGGTGGGACTGCTGCTCCCTGGCCACCTTGCACCTGCCTCTCACCTTCTGTCCGCCCTCCTCCCCATCTGAGTACCCCCTTCCCCGAGCCATCTGCCTTGCTTGGGGTCTCTCTGTCATTACCAGCTGAGTCAGGGGTCCTTGGTGACCAGCTCAGCAGCTGCTCCCCACAGTGGGACCCTTGGGCTGCAGCCAGCTCCTGAGTCCTGAGTCTGGGCCAGGGCTGGGGACGTGAGGTCGTGGCAGCCTTGGCTCCAGGCCTGGGCGCCATTCTCCCAGTGCCCCCTTTTGAGCTGCAGCTTTCCCTGTGAGGTGGGCCCCGCTCGCCGACATCTCAGAGGGCTCTGAGGGCCCAGGGTTGGAGACTCCTCTCGTGACGCTGAGCACTGTGAGGGGAGGGGATGGTGCTACCTCTAGGCTGCAGATGAGCCTTTTGCTGGGCTCCGGCCGCTGTTGCACACTGTGTATTCACTGGGCACTTGCTCTGTGCAGACCTGTGCCTACTGCCCAGCAAACACTACTGGTACCTCCCCTGGGAACTTACACTGTAGGAAACATGACAAACACAGGCGCGTGATCAGTGAAGGAAACTGTGGGCCTGAGACAGGTCACATTAACTGGTGTAACTGGGAAAGGCCTTGGAGGATGTGTCATTAAGCTGACAACTGAGACCCTTCATGGAAAGAAAAGCATTTCTGGCAAAGGCAATGGCAAGTGCAAAGACCCTGGGGCATGAGAGAGGTGGGCACATTGGAGAGCAGAAGGGAGACCAGGATAGGCAGAACTCCACTGGCCTGGGAAGGATGGGGTTTGTGTGACCCAGAAGGGAAAGACACTGGAAGATTGTGTGGCAGAGCTATGGTTTATATGATTAAAGACTCCCTGTGGCTCTGGTGTGAGGAGGAAGAGTTGCATGGCCGGAGCGTGGCTAGGCACAAGAGTGGGGCCCAGCCAGACTGCAGCAGAGGGATGGGGCTGGATGCTCGTTGCAGCTGGGAGAGGGAATGGCCTGCCCCATGGGAAATGGGAGGGAAGCTTGGAGGGGGTCAAGGGCAATGAGTTCCTAGGTTTCTGGCTAAAGCCATAGTGCTCTGGACACCCAGATCCTGTCCTTCTGCCAAGGGCAGGATGTCTAATCACTGGGCAGTGGATCCAATGACAGGTGAATCCTTTGTGTCTTTTATTGTATTTTGAGACAGGTTCTCACTATGTATAACCCAGGCTGGCCCAGAACTCAGGATCCTCCTGCCTCTACCTCCCGGGGATTCCATGCACGGCCACCATGCCCTGCCGGGAATGTCTTATTCATTTTCGTAGTGCTCAAGGAATGTGGATTGAGTTTGTCGAATGAATCTGTGAACCAATGACAGGATTCCCAAGCCCCTCCCTCTCTTTGCCTCTGTTAACCCATCTGTAAAAGGGACTACTGGTTTGGTATCTCCGCCTCCTCACTCTTCCCAGGGGGTCTGGTCTTCCAGAAAGAAAGCCTGGGCCCAGCTGTACTAGGAGTCAGGACCATCCCTCAGCAGGCCCTGACTCCCCATGCCCCCTCCTCCATCCTAAAACCTCAAATTACCTGCGGGCGGGTGTTGGCCTAGATGCACAGGGTAGGCCCACTCCCCCTTAATGACACCCTACTGCCTTCAGCTGGGTAGGGGGAGGAGGGGGCTGGCCCAGCCAGAGCTGTGGTTTCTTTTTCCATTGCGTCAGGCCTTGGGGTCCGGCCCACCCGCCTGCTGCCCGGCTGGCACTGAGGGCCACTCTGACCCCTGCCTGCCCCAGCCTCGGACATCATGTGCTCCCCATTTCGGGTATCCAGAAGCTTCCTGCCGGAGGGTGAGTTAAAGACAGGGACGTGCCTCTGGATGGGGAGGAGTCCCCTTTCCTCCCACCATCCGCTCGCCCAGCAAGCCTGAGAGCTGACCCAGGTAGAGTGCAGTGAGCCCGCTGTGATGGGGCCCCCTGCCCATGGCTCCACCAGGCAGAGGGAGCAAGGGTGGAAGGCTCGAACACTAACCAAGGGGGGATGCTAGAGGCTTAGACACGGAGGGGCTGCCATTGGGACAGGAAGCAGTGGCCCTAGAGCGATCACGTACGTGCCCACCTTTGCATTTGTTAGTTCTTGTGCACATACGTGTGTGCATGTGACCAGCCCATGTGCGTATTGGACAAGGAAGTGGGTAAAGCTGGGCATGTGTGCCTGACCCTTCTGGATGGGAATGGCTGGTATCCAGGACACACCTAACATGTCATAGAGAGCTCCGTGCTGTCGGCAGGAGGCGGCGAGCTGAGATCAGTGCTGCTGGGTCACACAAGGACATAGACAGACTCATCCTGGAGAAGCCGGTGACCCTGGGTACTCTGGGGCTTGGGTACTTTTTTAAATAGAGGAGTGTCCTTGGCTTTCCCAGCTCGGAGACCCTGGTCACAGTCCTGGCCTCTTAGTCCCAGGCTCTGCTGGCCTGGTGGATTCCCTGACATTTCCCACCAGGCCCAGCAGTCTCCCAGCCTGGTGAGAAGACCCAGCGCTTCCTGGAAATCTGGAGACCTGGTTCATACGTAGTCTTGGCTGTTTTCTGGCTATGTGACTGGGCAGTGACCTTTACTCCGTGGGCTTCAGTTTCCTCATCTGTAAAGCAGGGCAACCATCCTGCCCCCAGGCCCTATAGCCTGGGACTGGTGTAATCACAAACAGGCCCTCTCAGCCACGTGGCAGAGTGTCCACTGGAGACATCCCTTGCTGCCCTCTCCCCGCACACACACTCCTCAACTGGGCCCTGAGAGTAGACTGCACTAGAAACTGATTTTTACATGACAAGATGAATCCAGCAAGCGAATTGCAGTGCTCTCCTGATGCTCTGGATTTGTGTGATTATAGTGAGATTCTGGGGACAGACGGTGGGAAGGAGGGGCAAAGAACTGGCTTCGTCACTGTCCAGATCCTCTCCTTGCCAGGCAAGCCCTGGGAAGCACTGTGTCTGCAGGGAGGAGGAGGCCTGGCCTCCTGCAGACTGGGTCTGCAGCTGCCCCGCAAGAACTGGCGATCAGAGAGGGACTGGAGCTGGGGAGAAGGAGGATATGGTTCTAGTATGGTGAATGTGGTTATTCCTGCTGGTGACAGCATCTGCCTTTCCTCAGCATGACAATCAGCTACTCAAGGCAAATCAGGCAGGGGGTGATGATATACACCAGGTACAGTGACACATGCTTATAATCTAAGCATTCAGGAAGATTGTGAGTTCAAGGCCAGCCTGAGCTTCATTAAAAAAAAGAAAGAAAGAAAGAAAGAAAAAACAAATCTCTTCCCTAACATTATGACATCCCTACTCTCAGCCTGAATCCCCGCTCCCATCAGGGCCTGGGCACATCCAGGTTCCAGCTGCTCTAGAACAATGACTCTGCAGGTGCTGGAATGGGACAGTCATTTTCCTGCAGAACCCCCAGCCTTGAAGGTCTTGTGCTCAGTGAACTCTCTAGAGGAAGTGCACCAGCCTCAGTTTCCTGCTCTGGAAAATGGGGACAATATGCCTGCTTGCCCACAGACTGAGGATTAGAGCCTGTGCAGATGACACAGCATCAGTGCTCTTGAGCACAGGAACTGGGGTTCGTGTCCCCAGGGGGCTCTCCCTCTTCACACCTCCTCGGGGGATGTGCAGATTCAGTTGCCCACTCAACAGCGAGGGGACACAATGTTGGTGGAGGATTTGGAGGCTGGCCCTGCAGTATGTCTGGGGACTCATCCCCTGTGTTAAATGCATGGACACCAGTGGAAATAAAATTTGGATCAGGGGTCTCAAAAGACTGTGGCTTGATGTCACATGGGCAGATAGGAAACTGAGGCACAGAACACCAGCAGGGTTGTCTACAGAGCCTGTGATAAGTGGGACCCAGAGCTCCCTTCACCCTAGAGATGGTTCCTCTGCCTTGTCCTCAAAGGAAAACAGAAACCCTTACCATAAGCAAATGTCAGTCACCATCCTCAACAGGAAAAAGGAACACAGACCCCAGCAGGGATGTGGGGAAGTCACCAATGAGTGAAAGGGCCAGTTCCATGTTGAAGACAAGGACCAACTCAGACAGGGTGTGGGTGAGGTGGAGGCTTTGCCCATCCACTCATGTATGCATTCATCCTTTCCCTCAACAAACTTGCACTGCAGCTTCCTGTGCTCCAGCCACAGCAGTTCGTTTAAAGATACATGGACACACCTGATACACAATGAGCAAGGTCAAATTTTTAGTAAGTTACTTAAGTGGGCTTCCTAGTGGCCAAAGCAATGAGGGACACCTGAACTGCTGTACATTACACTGTAGCCACAAGATGCCAGCATGTTTGTTGGAGAAGCCAAGGTTTTCCTGACACAAAAAGTGACTGGGATGCCCATGTGCACTGATTCACTGCTCATCTGACATGGGCAACATGCAGGGCTCTGGCATATCTTACGGGTAAGGATTGACCCACGAGAGACCCAAGAGACTCCTGGTTCATGCTTTTCTCCCATTTTCCTTTCTCTGAGCTTTTGCCCATATGACTGCCTCCCTCTTGCTTTCTGTCTCTACCCACTTCTTGAAAGTCAGGGGGTAAGGCCTCCTGATGGTGTGGTTCCACCTTGACCCTCACTTCTATCCCCTAGACTGCCAGGAACTGTTACTGCCACCACCGACCCCAATGGCCTACATTCCAACCCCCCCAGCAGCAGGGGCTGCTCCCATGGGCTCCCAGTACTGCGTGTGCAAGGTGGAGCTGTCAGTGAGTGGCCAGAATCTGCTGGACCGGGATGTCACCTCCAAGTCCGACCCCTTCTGTGTCCTCTTTACAGAGAACAACGGCAGGTGGATGGAGGTGAGCCCCCACCAACAGAGTCTGCAGTGGGGAAGGGGTGGCTCAGTTGCTGGGGAATGGCTCCCACTGGATCCAGGCAGCCCAGGGTCAGGTGCTTGGAAGTGGGCAGGATGTGGGGGGTGGGGGAGCTTCTTAGAGAATTATTACTCTTAAAATTAAATTTGTTTTAAATATATTTAAGGGTGGGGGTGAGGCTAGTGGTAGAGCACTTGCCTAGCAAGCACAAGGCCCTGAGTTCAAACCCCATAATGCCAAGAAAATATTTAAATATACACTTAAAATATTACTTAAAATAATTCTATTTATATGTAAATTATCAGCATCCATAGATATATATTATTATAACATATAATGAAAACTTCTGAGTGTTGTGGGGCCTGGCTGTTATGGTAGAACACCTGCTTAGCAAGTACAAGGCTCTTGAGTTCAAACCCCAGTACAACAAGACAAAAAAAACCAAAGCAAAACCAAAATAACCTTTATAGCTTTACAAAATGCTTCCTTCTATTTTTAAATAACTTTCCCACTTTGTTTCAAAATGAGCAGTCAGTGAGAAATAGAGAAACAGGGAGCTTAGGCTTTGGCCCCAGAGCTGGTCTCAGGCCCAGCAATGCTGCTCCCTGCTGTGTGGCCTCAGGCAAGTAGCTGTCCCTTTCTAGACCTTCTCTTCACCTGTGAAACGGGGCTGATAGTGGAGGCCCCCAGAGCTGGGGATATCAGTGGTGTCCTAGTCAAGGACATCTGAGTTAGAAGACTGGCCTCAGGGCCAGGGCCAGGTGCAGTTTGAGGAAGGATGTTAGAAACCTGAGCTGCTCACGTGGTTGAGGATTTGCTTTGTTTCCTACTCCAAAAGGAGACTGTGTCTGTTGTAGTAAATTCAGAAAATTCACATAATCCTAAAGAAGGCCCTGTAAATGGTTGGAGGCCCCTGTCCAGAAGAACTGCTATTAACTGTTAAGGGTCCAAATGACTTTTTGTTTGGTTTTGGTTTTTTGGTGGCATTGTGGTTTGAACTCACCTTGCTAGGCAGGTGCTCTACCAGTATCTGCCTCCAGCTCTTTTTTGTGTTGGTTATTTCTGAGAAAGGGTCTCTCTTTTTGCCCGAGTTGGCTTCAAACCTTGATCCTCCTGATCTCTTCTTCTCGAGTAGCTAGGATTACAGGCATGAGCCACTGCTTTCCAAACAGTTTTATATGTGTGTGTATTTTCCAAAATGCATATTTACTTTTTAAATAAATATTTAACTGGGCCACGGTGGGCGGCTAACAACAAACTGTGGTTTACTAAGCGTTTCCACAGATGTTGGCTCCTCTTTGTGATGCTAAAATAAATGGAGCTGGGTTATTGACCTGTTTTACGGAGGGGAAACTGAGGCCCAGAGTGGGTAAGGAGTTTTCTGTACCACCCAGTGTGTTGGTTACAGAGATGGAAGATGCGATACGGGGTCAGCCCAGGACTCCAGGGCAGCCCAAGGCATGTCTGGGACACCAGTGCCTTCTGCCAGGCCTCTGAAAGCCCTGAACTCCTCAGAGAGTGGTGTCCCCTCATTCATTGCACACCCACCTGGTCAGATACCCTGGCTAAAAACAGCCCAGGCCAAGATCTCTCCAGTCCCAGCCATTTAAGCCTGGGTGGGAGGAAAAATCAACATAGCCTGTGCCCCAAAATAGACTGTCACCCAGACTCTGTGGTTTGGGGCCTCAGTGTCTTGAGGCCAGGAGGCAGGGTTTCTGCCCCAGTGCTACCACAGTACCAGCCCTATCCTCACCCAGGCTTGGGGTCCACAGCAGGGGACATGTTAGGATGCACGAGTCCAGGGTTCTGTGCAAGACGCAAACATCCTGTTGGGGTGAGGCTCAAGTGGTAGAATGCCAGCCTAGCAAGCATGAGACCCTGAGTTCAAACCCCAGCACTGCCAAAAAAAAGCCATTTAAAACATATGCTCCCAGAGGCTGAACCTCCTTAATCCCCATCTGCCCAGGATCCCCTTCTTCTTCTGGTTTCTCCTCTCAGGTGCCATGTAAAATGTGACCTGAGAAGAGGGTTTCCCAAAGTAAAAAATGTGAAAGCCGTATGTAGTCAAATTCCTTCATTTTATAATAGTAGAAACTGAGGCCCAGATTGGGAGAGGGACTTGCCCTCTGTCACTTACCCAGGAGGGGACAGGGCTTGAGCTCTTACCCCAGCACCTTCTTGGCTGAAGACCTAAGAATTTTGGCCCTATCTTACTGGCTGTTGAACCTTGGGCAAGTCACTTAATCTTTCTGTGCTTCCATGTTTTCTGTGAGCTGGGAGTCATGGTTGCTTCAGCCACACCAGTAACTAGCCATGGGTGCCTGGCAGAGTAGGTGCTTAGTGAGCTGATCGATTTCCACCTGATTGATTTCCAGTGCTGACTCCCATTTCTCTGCCCTTCTGCCAGTATGACAGGACAGAAACAGCTGTCAACAACCTCAACCCTGCGTTCTCCAAGAAGTTCGTGCTTGACTACCACTTTGAGGAGGTACAGAAGCTGAAGTTCGCCCTATTTGACCAGGACAAGTCCAGCATGCAGCTGGATGAGCACGACTTCCTGGGCCAGTTCTCCTGCAGCCTGGGCACAGTAAGCAGACCCCTTCTGGTGGATGGGTGCAGAGCATTTGTTGCCCCTACACTTGTACCCTGTCTTCTTCCCTGCCCTGTTTTCCTGGTTGGCTCCCAAATGCAAATGCACCCCAGGAATCACCAGGCCCCAGGGGGTGAAGTTGAGTAGGTTTGGGGTTAGGCTGAAGATCATACGCCCAAAGAGGTGGTCAATCCCAGTGCCAACCTGAGTGGGGCTTCTATGTGACTGGAGCATCTGATGGTGTAGGCTGGAGCTGGAGCTCAGTGACAGAGAACTTACCTCACATGTGCAAGGCCCTGGGGTTCCATCCCTAACACCATAAAAAAAGAAAGGAAAAAGACATCAGGTATGGTCTTGACTTCCTGGGGAAACAGCAACCTAGACACCATGCTAGCAGTCCTACTTTGTGGCTGACTCACTGTGTGACCTTGGGCAACTTCCTTTCCCTCTCTGAGGTAAACTTCCCCATCCAGCTTAGTCCTTGGTTCAGCTGCAGGAGCCTGGAAATGAAGAACTAGGAGCCCCTGACACAAGTCTCAATTAGTCCTTGTGGCTGTGCATTCCTGAGCAAGCCTCTATCTCCTTCTGGGCCTCAGTTTCCCTAAATCTCACTTCAGCTCACAGGTCTTTTTTTTTTTGGCAGTACTAGAGTTTGAACTCAGGACCTCACACTTGCTAGGCAGGTGCTCTATCACTTGAGCCACTCCATCAGCCAAACCTCACTTCAGGATAGTGATGACAGCCTCTGCCCAGCCTATAGGAACAGCGAGGGGATAAAATAGAAAATGCTTTGAATGCCAGGTGTGGTGGTACACACCTATAATCCTAGCACTTGAGAGGCTTAGGCAGTAGGATCACAAGTTTGAGGCCTGGATAAGCCTGAGCTACATAGTAAGACACTGTCTCAGGACAAAAAAAAAAACAGGGTAACTGGGGAGCAACAAGTTTAAGGACTTGTGGGTAGGGATGGGGAGCCAACAGAGACCAGGAAGGCAGCCCAGGGCTTGGCACCACCAGGGGCTCAGTGTTGCTAATGGGGGGGTGGGGGTGTCTCAGGCCCATCACAGCAATGAAGCTTCCTGGGGGCAACTCTAGCTGCCCTTCCATCTCCCTCTAATTCCCCCACTGGCTGCATCTGTCAAAGGACAGGGGAGCTGGAGCCTGGGGGAGGGGAGGGAGACTTGACAAGAAGATGAGGACAATGCAGTCTTCAGGGCATAGCAGGTGTAGAAGGACAGAGGGTAGGTGGTGGTGAAGACCAGCCCCCAGGACAGGAGTGGCTCTTGCCGGTGTGTACTCACACCTACATGAAGAGATCCAGGCATTCACACCAGACACTACAGCTGGGCTGCTGTGGACAGGGACCAGTGGGGGGGGGCTTTCCAATGTGTCCCACTCTGCCTTTCCATACCTTTTGGATTATTGAACCCTGGGTGCCTGGGTTACCTGTTGAACACAATGAAAATGCATAGGAAGTACCTCTGCAGGTGGGGTCTGGGTATGCCAGGGGAGGACTTTAGAGGACTAAACTCTGTCCTTTTCCTGGGGGCAAGCCAGCAGGTCAGTGGGAGCCAGACTGCCAGGACTCCACCCCAGCTGGGGGACCTGAGAAGTGTCTTAACCTCTCTGGGCCTCCATCTCTGGGCTGCCCAGGTTGGCTGTTGGTGTTCTGTGTGCCTCCAAGGTGAACATTAAGCCAACCCTAGAAGGAGGCAGCCCCTTCCTGAGCCTCCCCCTTCTTGCTGAGCTCCTGTTTCTGTCTCCAGATCGTCTCCAGCAAGAAGATAACCCGGCCTCTGCTGCTGATGAATGACAAGCCTGCGGGGAAGGGCTTGATTACGGTACCAGCCCCCTCCCTGCTCCCCACACCCCCCTCTGCCTCCTCCGCACCCTCCCCATCAATGGGCCGTTTCTCTGGCAGATAATCACCGGCTTTGTTGGGAGTAAAAAGACCCAACTTACAACTTAGCAACAGGTCTCTTAGCAACGGGCTCCTGGCTCCACAAATGATGCACTAAAAGCTGCCAAACTGGGGGAACTGTCCGCCCCCCTCACGGAGGCTCCCTGGGCAAGGGCAGGGACCACCAGAGCCCTTCAAGCATCCCTTTCCCCCACTGCCCCTTCTGCCTTCCCCTGGGGATCCGTCAGAAGCCTTGCGCTTGGGCTCTGTACGTGTCTGTGCTGCGCCATGATTCCAGAGATGCGCAGTGATTCCCCCTGTGATGTGCAATGATTTTTCCCCTGCGATGCGTAACGATTACAACAATGCGAATGATTCCAGAGATGCAGTGTTTCAGCCATGCACACAGTCTTCCTGTGGATGAGCGCCTCCTTCCTCACAGAGTTCCAGAAATCAGGGCCACCCATTTCACAGACGAGGGACACGAGACCCAGAGAGGTAGCCCCGTGGGGCATTTCCACCAGCAAGATTGCCCCTGCAATGTGTGACTTGGGGAACCGTCTGCTGGAATGTACGATTTTCGTACATTCCTGTAGTATTACTCCCCTGCTCTGGAGTCTGCAGTGGCCCCTCATGGCCGGGGGGGAACCCTTTTTTTAATGCCCAACGCGACCCATGGGTCCCTGCTTAGTTTTCCTGACTTTGCTGTTCCCCTCTTCTCCTCATGCCAGGGTTCAAAGCAAACTGAGTCTATCACGTGCACTGAACACATCCAGACTGTCCACTGTTCCCCCCGCCCTGAAGGCCCCACCTATCTCCCTTACCACTCAAAGTCATCCCACAGAAGGGTTCCCACTTGGCAGCTTCCCTCACAGGAAGCCGCCAGAGGGACCCTGGTCCAGTATGCTCCCAGCATTCTAGTGGCTCTGCACTAGGCTGCTGGTGTCCTCCTCTGGGAAATGGGACAAAAAAAGGTGCTGTAGTGTAGTGGAGCAAGTCCCAGTTGGAGGCCAGGAAAGCCGAGGTGAGGGCATTCTGGAGACAGGGCAGAGGGGCAGTCCTCGCCTAGAGCACCCAGCCCACTTGTGTTGCTGGGATCTGAGGGCTTCCTGCCTATCCAGGGAGGGCCAGGTGACAGGTTTTGGTAACCTCAAGTCCAGAGCTGGCTCCACCCTGGCTGGACTGGGGTTTGAGGTCCATGGCTGTGGGAAAGGCACAGGGGACAGAGGACCACCTGTGGGAGCTGACAGGACAGCAGAGGGCACTCAAGTACCTCCCGTCTTCACTGGACCTCAGTTTCTCCAGGTGCACTGTGCAGTTGCTATGGGCTGGTCTCTTGGTGTTCTGAGCTCCCTGGGGCTGTAGAGGAGGCCTGTCTCACTGATCTCCCACCCCAAACCTCTCCCCATGGCTCAAGACCGCCTCCCTGTCTGGTCCCTGTATCACCTCCCCCACCTTCCCATGTCCCTTCTCCTCAGCTACATGGAGTCATTTTCTCATTACGAGTAACTGACCAAGATTTGGGGAAGACAAGAGTCTAGTCCAGCGTCACCGGCACCCTCCTCCCCTTCCCCTTCTATCCTGGATTGTTGGGTTCAGGACCTGCTGTGCCCTTGGTGCCTGGCGGGTTGAGGAGTGGAAGGAGCAGGTCTCTCTCACCGCCTTCACTTTACAGATTGTTGCCCAGGAGCTATCAGACAACCGGGTCATCACGCTGAGCCTGGCGGGCAGGAAACTGGACAAGAAGGTGAGCCTGGTGGGGAGGGTTTCCATCAGGAGCTGAGTCCCTCCCTGGCACAGAGCTGAGTGGTGCATCCCTCCCTGCTACCACCTCCATTGGCTGCTGAGAATAGGCCGAACACAGGGCCCCACTGGCCACTCCAAGTTAGGACTTTCCCCCTGGTTAGGGAGTATCCTAGTACTTTAAAGGCATGAAACCTCAGCTGGAAACCAACTCACTGCAGACCCTTCTCACTTGGTCTCAGGGCCAGGCTCCTTACAATACCCCGCAGGCCCCTGCCTCAGGTGCCCCAGTGCCCTGACTACCTGACCATCCCTTTCTGTCCCCTACCTCCACTCGGCTTCAGCCAAACCAGCCTCCTCACTGACTCTGGATTTATTTATTTATTTTTCTATTTATTCTGGAGATGGGACCCAGACCTCATGTACACAAGGCAAGCACTCTGCCATTTAGCCAAATCCCCATCCTGCTGTCTCTGGTTTAAACGAGGCACTGTCCTGCCTCGGGACCTTTGCACTTGTTCCCTCTGCCCTCTGAATCACTCAGCTCTTCCTTGAACATTCTCGTGGTGCCCGCTCTGCATCCAGCCTGTAATTTCACATTTCCTCCACCATGAGGCCCTCTTGGAGATGTTTTCAGTTTCACCAGAATAAAGCCCTACCCAAGACCCCAGCCCTGAACTGGAGGCAGCATCTGTGTGAAGTTCTGCCCTCTCTCAAAGGCTGCAGCTCCAGAACCCCCTGGGCTTTCTCACTCAGGAAAGCTGCAACTACCCAGGCTCCCACCAGTCTGGTAGAATCATGCTCCCTTGCCCATGTCCTCCTGCCTCCTCCAGGACCTCTTTGGGAAATCGGACCCATTTCTTGAGTTTTACAAACCAGGGGATGATGGCAAGTGGCTGCTGGTCCACAGGACTGAGGTAGGTGAGTGGGCCCCGGGGTCTCACAGAAAGAGGGTCTGCAGTCCAGCAGATGTGCAGGCATGCAGATGGCACCAAAAGGGCCATGGGGTGCTGCCTGTGTTCTGGAAGTGTGGCTGTGGGCTTCCATGTCCTCAAACCTATCCTCAGTGAGTATATCCCTGCCTCTTGCTGTCCTGCAGGTGATCAAGTACACTCTGGACCCTGTATGGAAGCCATTCACTGTCCCACTGGTATCCCTGTGTGATGGGGACATGGAGAAGCCCATCCAGGTAAGGGGACTCTGGAGGTGCTCATCTAGCCAGCTCCACCTCCTAGTCTGCCTGAAGCTGGGGGAGAAGGGCTTGTCAAAGCTCTTGCTTACTAAGATAGGAAGAGCCCAATCTTAGGAGAGGAGACAAGAACCCTGGGTCCTTATCCCAGGGTCAACCTGACCCTCTGAGGGCCTGGGCAGAGTCCCCACCTCCATGAGCCTGGTTCCAACATTGCCTGCCCTTCACAAAAGCTAGTTGAGCTGCTGGCCAGTGTACAAAGGCAGAAACTCCTCAGAAACAATCACATGCTTCAAGTATGGTCACATGGTGAGGATGTGATCACCTCCTCTTTCTAAAACTCCTTGGTCCTTAGGGGCTGATCTGTGGGCAGGTGAAATGAGAGCAACAGCTAGGATAGGCTCCAGAAAACTTGGGCTCTGGTTCTGGGGTGGCTGTTGTTGCTGCTGCCAGGCTTTGGCCAAGGGCTTCCCTCTCTGGGCCTCCATGTACCCACCAGTAGGATGGGTACAGTAATCCCTACCTTCCTCCTCAAGTGCCCTGGCAACATGGCATTAGGGAACATGTAAGACTGGGGTTTCTGTGACCATCTAGAAAAAAAACAGCAATCCAGAGAAGACACTAGGCCATTGCCAAGGAGCCAGTGGACCCCAGCCCAGCCAGAAGAGGATCAGGGTTAGGCGTGTGGGGAGGCGAGCGCCATGCTGGAACCATAGCCCATGTTCTTGGGTGACCACATTCTTCTTCCCCAGCAGGAGACAGCTCAGGCCAGCTAGGCAGATGCTGGGGTAGGGGAAGGGGAAGGTGGTACCCACGCAGAAAATGTGGGATTTGCCTGGGACGCTGATGGGTAGAGAGCACCTCTTGGGACCAGCTTTGGGATGACTGTGCTGGACCCATCCCAGGTCATGTGCTATGATTATGACAACGATGGGGGTCATGACTTCATTGGCGAGTTCCAGACTTCGGTGTCACAGATGTGTAAGGCTCGAGATGGCGTCCCGGTAAGATGGGCCCATGTGTCCAGACCCCAGGATCTCAGCAGAAGCCAGGGGAGGACTGGTAGTGGGAGGCTCTGAATCAGGCAGATAGGGGCTCACACCATCTCTTCCGGCTGTATGGCCTTGAGCAAGGCACTCAATGTCTCTGGGCCTCAGTTTCTCCATCTGTCTGGGGGCAGGGACTCAGGGTGGGATGAAAGTGAGGAGACAGGAGCAGACCTGGCCCCTAGTGTACAGTCAGAGCTGTCACTCAACACCTGCAGCTGGACCTTCCACTGCAGTGATGTGCTGAGTTGTATGGAGGAACAATTGCCCATCTCCTGCCATTTCTGTGGCAGTCCATGGCAGCTCCCTGGAGGAAGCAGTCATCCCATGTCACAGCTGTGGAGAGGACTCTGGGGTCTCAGGAAAATCTGGCCCCAAGCATCCCCATCTGAGCCTCTTTTCACCCCTGGTGGTAGCTGGAGTTGGAGTGTATCAACCCCAAGAAGCAGAAGAAGAAAAAGAGCTACAGAAATTCTGGCATCATCATCCTGCGATCCTGCAAGGTAAGCAGCAGGGGAGGGCCAGCCGGGCTGGGTTCGAGTTACAAGGGGGCACCACTGCAGACAGAGTAGACAGAACTTGGGATCTGGGGCCAGTGAGACCTGAAGTCAAATCCTGCTTCTGCCACATCCTGGCTCTGTGACCTCTCTGGATCTCAGTCTCCGCATATGCGGAGTGTGCACATTAACACAGGAGAGCAAGTGAGGGATTAGTCCCATGTCCCTATCCTGTGGGAGGCCAAGGAGGGCCTGAGAGGCCTCCTGGAGCCTCTCCTGCTTTGTGGACTGTTAGGAGCCATTGCTGTCCGTGCTGGTTGCCCACTCAATTGAGCATTAGAGGGGCGAGAGCCGTGAGATGAAGCATCTTGTTCCTCTGGCATCTGAGAGGGTCCAGGTGGCTGTGATCCTCATGGTAGAGCTGGGCCACTGAGGCTCAGAAAGCAATGAAGCTGATGGCACAGGGTAGCTGGTGGCCTCCTGCCTTGTGGATAGGCGGGACATTAGGAAAGCAGCCTGGGCTGGACAGCAAGAGCTGGACTCAGGCCTGAGATACAGAGCAAATATGGCACTGCTCTCTGTAAGTGGTGGATCAGGCCCCAGCCTCTGTCTCCTAGTCGGGAGCCCAGTAGTCTTAGGGTCCCATGGCTTTCAGTGACAGTGTCACAAAAAACGAGCTCTGCATAGGTCAGGCACTCACTTCCTCTCCTCATGAGTTTTCCTAATCAGCCTTTCTCCCTCCTCCATTTAAAAAATTAACTTAAAATAATACATTTATCTTGAAAGGAACCCTTTTAACTCCACCAAAATGGGAAGGCCAGTATGCCTCACCTGAAGGAGGCCTCTGCCATCAAAACAAATGCAGTGTGTTAACTGCTTTATTAACTTATGGAAGAGGCCTTGGGCTCTTTGTTAGAAGGCAGGACACTGAGTGAGGCATGGAGGAGGCAGGGGCGGGTAGAGGCTTTCTCCATCAGGTAATCAGCAGGTGTATTAATGCCAGTCACTGGGACCCTGCCTGAAACTGTTTATCTATACGTGTGTGTGTGTGTGTGTGTGTGTGAGAGAGAGAGAGAGAGAGAGAGAGAGAGAGAGAGAGAGAGAGAGAGGCTCCACCCAATAGGAACCATGGCTCTAAGGCCTTTGTTATAGAGGGGTTGGGGGTTTGTTCTAGTCAGATCAGGTCCATCTGCTGTTTCCAGCCTCCTAGTTTCTACTGAGGCTTCAGGACAGAGCAGGAACTGCTCATTGGGGCCTTCATGGCCAAATCCAGGGACCCACTTGACTCACCCAATTCTTCCAGATACACCGGGACTACTCCTTCCTGGACTACATCCTGGGAGGCTGCCAGCTTATGTTCACCGTAAGCCCCTCCCTCCCCATCCCTGCCCAGGGACCAGGGTCCTCCCCAGGGTTTAGGCTCTACTGCAGCAGCAGGGCCTTCAGGAAGGACTTCCCTGGAGCAACAGGTATGTCCCCGAGGAGAGGGTACAGGTGGCTTATCCTGGTGAACAGCTGACTTGGGGCTTGACTGCAGGTCAGGTACAGCTGCACAGCCTGTGTCTGCTAACCACAGCCTCCACAGACAGGAAAAGTCATTTTCTTCCTCCTGGCCACAAAAAGTCAGTTCCTTGCCATCCGGCCCAGCCTGCCACCACCTTCCTTCTCGGTCACTCAGTTTAGCCACACTGTTTCTGATGATTCTCTCCACACACCAAGCTCTGCCCTTAGGGCCTTGCATTGCTGTTCCGTCTGCATTTGCCATTCCCTCTGCCACCTTCTCAGAGTGCTCCTCCCTGATGCCTCCCTGTCTGTCTCATCTTCCTGCTGTATCATCTTCAGGGAACTTGCTGTCTTGGAAATCATTTACGCTTCTCCCTCTTTGTCTCTGCTTATTTTTTTTTTCCATTTTTATCTCAGCATGTCACTGGCACATAGCAGGCACCTGATTAGCACTGATCTACAGAATGAAGGGCCCCTTGCCTGGCCCATCCTCTGGCCTTTTGCTCCTCACACAGGCTCAGGGGAGCAGCCTACTGGTCACTGTTCTCTGCCTACCTGCCCACATCATCTTGCCATTCTCCATCATCACCTCTAGGTCCCAGTAGGGGGTCTGGGACATTACAGAGCTCCCAGAGTCAGAGTGGCCTTGCTGACCTCTGACCCATAGTGTCCACTGCCCTCCTATCTGGGTCTGCTCATTGGCAAATGTCCACTGAGCACCTCCCTGTTCCAGGCTCTCAGGTGTGCCGCTGCAGGGCTCCCTCAAGGGCTGACTCCAGCAGTGTGGGGACACAGACGATTGCCTCTTCCCTCCCTACAGTGACTAGGTTCCACTGCTAATGCCCCTGGGCTCAGCAAGGGCCATTCTTGCCCATTCTGTGCTGCCCCTCCAGGGGCTGGGCTGGGACCCCTCTGGCTGAGAGAGCAGGGAGGACCCCACTTCATATTCTCTCACCCTTAAGTCCCATTGACAACTGCCCTGTGCACTCTCCCCAGCCTTACCTACCAGGTGCACCCAACTGGCCACAGAGATGGGCACTGCCCCTGCCAGGCAGCCCCAGGTCCTGGCACCTGGTGCTCTGAGGGTCAGTGGAGAGATGGCTTGGGTTGTAGGTGAGGGTCTGAGAAGGGTTCAGAAGGGCAGGGGCATCTGAGTGGGGCCTGGACGGAGAATGAGATAGGGAGATACCATGGCATGGCCCGTCCTGAATGAAGGCCTGGAAAGGGAGACAGATGAATTGGTGGGCAGGGATAGTGGGAGAAAAAGGAACTTGGGGCCATGAGGGAGACTTGTATTGCATCTGGGCAGTGGACTTTAAGTGTGGGCAGTAGGGGACTGTGGGTCATTAGAGCAGAATAGTGAAAGAAGAAGGTCCCAGGTTTCAGACCATCACGTGGAGGATTGAGGCTGCGAGACAGTAGGTTTCCCATGTCCCATCAACCTCTCCTTTTCCATGGGGGTGGGCTAGGGAGCTGAGGTTAGTAGCCACACTGAGTGGCTTTTTCCCTCTCTCTACAGGTTGGAATAGACTTCACAGCCTCCAATGGAAACCCCCTGGACCCTTCTTCCCTGCACTATATCAACCCCATGGGCACCAATGAATATCTGTCGGCCATCTGGGCAGTGGGACAGATCATCCAGGACTATGACAGGTAAGCTTGGAGAGAACTCTGTATGTTTATGAGTTCCCTCCAGCCTAGGAAGCTGGGCTTGTCACAGCTAGAAGGGGCACAGGGATCTGCATACCTAGCAATGGCTTGCACATGACATCCACACAGCATCACCCCTTCTTTTACCCATGGCAGACATTGCTAACTGATTGCTGTACTCTTACCTGCTGAGCCCAGATGAAACTGGGGTGTGCACCAAGCAGCCAGTGAGAAAATGGACTAGGATGGAGGGTAGAAGTGGGAAATAGAGACCTAGAGCTCACGGGGACTGGACCCCAGGCATCTCAGTTCCTGGGCCAAGCCCCTAATGGTCTCACAGGCTCACTCCTACTCTGGCATGTGTAGACCCTTTTCCCATGACCATGAGGACCTTTGGGTGGGGGCTTAGTGGAAAGTCACTGAAGGAAAGCTGTGTGGAGGGAACAAAGACCAACAGAAGGTAACATCATTGTCACCAGCTGATTGGGAGGTCAGAGGATGCAATGACCAGGAAGTAGCACACTGGGAGCAGCAGGTGTAAGAAATATGGTGGGAAAAGAGCAGGCTCAGGAAGCCCCATACACTTGGCCTTCTAGAGAGAGACACCCCAGGACCAGTGTCTGGTTCAGGTAGTCAGAGTCTGAGGGTGGCTGTAATTACAGGTTACATTAAGAGAGGTACAGCATGCAGAACAGGGAGGTAGAAGTCCCTCTCTACATGGTCAGGCGGAGGACCCTGGTGTCTACTGGCCACTTGACCCTTCACTGAGCCATCAAATGACCATTCAGGCTTAGCAAGGCCCTAGTGCCCTCTGGACACTGAGCACCATTGCCTCCTGCCCAGCTCATTTCAGTTGCCTCCTCACTGGTCTTCCTGTTCTGCACTGGCACCTGACAGTTTGCACTCCACATGGCAGCCAAAGGGACAAGAGAATGAGACACTGTCCCTTCCCTGCGTGAGTTCTCACTAGAAGAAGAGAGAGGACTGGAGTGCTGAGGGACCTATTGACATGTGAGGCAGGAGCTAGGAACACCAGAGAGAACCAGAGAGAGGCATTGTGGGGTATCATGGACCCATCAATGGTCCAGAGAGAGGGGCCATTTTGTTTGAACCTTGGAGGACAAGTAGGAGTTTGCTAGAGGGAACAGACTGGGGAGAGGTATTTCAGGTAGGGCACAACAGAATTGTGTCCTCTATGTGTGGAGGTGGTGTCCTGTGTGTGTAAGATCTGCAAATGGCCAGTGGTCAGGGCTGGGGTGGGCATGAGGAACAGGTAGGCTCTGAGACCAGATGATTAAGGGCCTCGATTGCCAAACCAGGGTCCTCTTTTTTGGAGACTTTCCCCCTAGCCATAACTGGAGGCTGGGAGACTGGAACCAGTTTGTTCCACTTCCATCATGACATTGGCTTAGTGGCTGCCTGGGGTCTTGGTTGGAGAAGATCTAGAAGCTGCAGCCAGGTCCACTGGTCAGAAGTGCTGCATTGATTAGCTGTGTCTGCTGTGGGTAGAGCTGCATCGAGGCGCATGCTCAGTGCTCAGGGGCAGATTGGTGGGCCTGGGCTCAGAAGAGAGGTAATTCTAATAGGGCTTTTCCTAGAGGGGCAAGCTTTTCTCTCTGTCCCTGGAGGTATACAAGGCAAAGGGCACACCCAGAGTCAGGGATCAGGAGGGGAGAATGTGGGTGGTAGTAGCCCCTTGTCCAGCTGTGTCACCATGTTTTTCTCTCCTCTCTGTGGTTAGTGACAAGATGTTTCCAGCTCTGGGATTTGGGGCCCAGTTGCCCCCAGACTGGAAGGTGAGTGAAGCCATAGCTTCTTTTTTGGTTGAAATGGGATTCGTGTGTGTAGCCTCCCTAGGATCTGCTTAGGGCAGGTCTTGGGTGGGGGGCCTAGGTGTTCTGCCACTGTGCCTTATATCTCAGACCACTCATGTCTCAGGCCTGGACCTCATGCAGACATGGAGGCTGTGGCAGGGGAGAGCACATTATAACCATTGGTAACTGAAGCCCATGTTAAGTAGGCATATGACAGATAGGGTGGCCAGACTTAGCAATTAGCTAAACCTAGTTAAGTTTGTATTTCATGTAAGCAGTTTCTTAAGCATAAGTATGTGCTCAATATTGCATGGGATGAACTTCTAAAAATCTCCCATTGCTTGTCTGAAATTCATCTTAACTAGGCTTCCTGCATTCTGTCTGACATAGGTAAAGGTAGTCAGTGACATGGATGCTGAGATGGGTGGCAAAGGCCTGGCGAAGCCCAGGGGAAGGGACCCAGTACAGGCAGGGGATCAGAGAAGGCTTCCTGGAGGAGGCAAGATCCAAGCCAAAAAGGGAGGGAAAGGTAGGCATTTGCAGAGTCACTGAGGGTATAGTGGGGTTAGAGAGCATGTTTGGAACAGAGAACAGCCTGTGCAAAGGCTCCACTGGAGATGGGAGGAAACTGAGGAGAGGGGGCAGCAGGAAGCCAGGGGAAGCAAATCGCTGGAAAGTAGCACTTGCTGGGTGCTTGGAATGTTCTAGACACAGCTCCACCTGCTTTGCCAGCTTCTTTTTGTCACCCAAACTGATTCATTTGGCCTTCCTGTTTCCCCATTATACCAGTGAGGAAGCTGAAGAATCATTTCAGTGAGGACAGAGTGGCCAACGGGTCCAATCCCATCTACAGGCTGGGTGGTGAGGTGAGACTAGAGATGGGACTGCCCACTTCAGTGACCACAGCAGGAGCCACCATGGCAGGAGAGCTGGTGGAGAGGGCTGGGCTGCGCATGGGGAGTGAGTTGAGACACTGGCGAGGGAGCAGGAGGGACAGGAAAGCAGGTCACGGATCCTAAGGAGCCAGGAGAGAGAGCGGTGTGAAAAGGAGGCTCCTTTAGGTGCAGGTGTGGGGAGTCTAGGCAGGAGGCAGGCCAGGGCCTCACATGACCCAGGAATGGGGAGCATTTGGAGGCTCTGGTGAGAAGTCAACAGGGACAGAGCTCCAAGGCTGGAGAACTCACTACTGACAGGCCCAGGGAGTACTGTCCCATCCTATGAGTGAAAACCTGTGCCTCAGGGCCTTCACGGAACTTCTCAAGGTCACCTTCACCACAGGGGCAGTCACCACCTGTGGATTCCAGGTGGGCAGATGGATTGTAGGGATTCTCCCCCTGAATCTGTTGCCTCCCATATGAGCATCCTGTGGGGGGTGGGCACATCTGTCTCAGCCAGTACCTCCCTGTCTGCCCCACTGGGCTGCATCTTCTTTGCCGAATGAGTTTTGCCTCCCCCCCGTCCTCTGTGGTCCTCTCTGGGGAGGACTGTGTTCACCTACAGGGCCTGTGCAGGAGAGATGGGCATCCTGGCCCTGTGTGAGGGCCTCTGGGCTAGCTACACAATGTGTAGGGGATGGGGGTGGGGGGAGGGGGGAGGGCAGGGCGAGCTGGTGGCCGGGACCCAGCACGAGCCTGTTGCTAGGACACCAGCCAGCTTTCAAAGAACTCAGCTGAATGAGATATTTTCTTGAGCAAAAGCCTCCCTGGAAATGTCACAGGGCAACTCTGGAGAGGCTGGGGCTTGGCCAGGCCAAGTGCCCAGTGGTGCCAAGCAGAATACTGGAGCTGGCTAGGAGAGGACACAGATGTTGTGTCCAAGCCCATCAGGCCTGGCCCTCTAAGCCCCCCACCCTCTCTCATCTGGCACCCCTCACTCCTGTCCCATCAGCCAGCCTTCCTTCCTCCTTCCTTCCTTCTTTCCTTCCTTCTTTCCTTCCTTCTTTCCCGCCTCAGGGCCTTTGCACTTCACCCACACTATTGCCCCCTTTCCATTTCCCCCCACTGCTTCTCAGCTTGGCACTCCTGCTCCCTAGGAGCCCTTCCCTGGCCATACTTGCCTGGGGACCTCTTCCCTGCCTGGGCTGTGTCCTAACAGCATTTTGTAATTTACTGGTGATCTCTGAGAAGGCACTCGGTTTCCTTCTTGCTATATCCCAGCGCCTGGCACGCGGTAGGTGAGCCGTCCTTGCTTGTGGACAGAGTGGATCTGGCACCTGGTTCCATGACCTGAGCAGATGCAGGACTTGGCTCTGGAGTATACAGGGTCAGCCTTTGATCCACCCAGTCTGGGGAAAGGGGGCTGGAGCTGTCAGCAGGGACCAGTCCCTCGGAGATCTACCACAGATCCACATGCTGCATATCTGGGCCCATGTGACGCCCGATCCCCAGTTCAGCTCTGAGCGAGGGTATCTGATCCAGTGGGCTACCTGGTGTGTGCCGGGCTCCCTTCCAGGTACTTTGCCTACTGCTAAGATCAGGAACATCAAGGCCCAAACACCCTCTAAGAATACACCCCACGAGCGGTGCTTCTGGACCCACCACCCTCAGGGGCAGCCCTGTCCCACTCAGGGTCTCTCTCAGTGAGGTGAGGGTGCACAGGCAACCTGGACAGCCTGGAAGTTAGCTGGACGATATGGAAGGTATCAGTTCCATTATGAAGTGAGGGTCTGTGAAAGCAGATGTGGGGGATCAGTAGCCCAGATGGATGGTGGGGTGGGGCGAGGAACCAGGTGCTCTCAGAGGGGGCTTGGTCTGGCAGAGGCTAGGGGTGAGAGCTGCCACTCAGCAGGTCCTCTGCATTTCAGGTCTCCCATGAGTTTGCCATCAACTTCAACCCCACCAACCCTTTCTGCTCAGGTGAGTGTGAACCCTGCCTGCATCCACCCCACACCCCACACCCAGCCACCATCCCAGGTGGGTAAGGATTTCTGTCCCTTTCTTTTGTCCCCTCCCTATCACACTTGCTCAGAGTGACAGGTAAAGAAGAGCCAGAGTATGGAGTCAGATAGTCCTGGGTTCAAGGTCAGCTGCTGCCCATTTGTGCCTGTGGGGCCTTCTGGAAATCACTGTACCTCTCTGGGCCTTTGCTTTATTACCTGCCCCAGTGAGGTGTGATACTTTCTTAGCTCACTTCCCTAGGTTGTCAGGTGAGAATTGGAGGCAGTTGGCCCAAGCCCTGTGTAAATGAGGAGGTGGGGGGTACCCCAATATACCCTGCTGTAGTCTCCTGCTTGCTTCCTTCCCTAGCTGAGAGGCCAGCCTGCTGTCTGCCTTCCAGGAACAGCCTTGGTGGGTGGCCTGACAGACTTGTGGAGGCAGGGACTGGAAGTGAGGATGGGATCTGTGCTCACCCTCTTCCCAGACTGATAAGGGTTTCTGAGCCTCTAGGACCGTTCATAAACTATGAGAGGACTCCAAAGGGAAACCCATCAAGCCACCAGGTTGGGGATGTGGCTGTGGCTTGGCAACTATGGGCATCTACTGGCTAAAAATGTGGCCCTGTGGCTTTCTGGTCCTGAGTAGGTCTTCAGAGGCATTTGTCTCAGTTTAGGTTGGTCCACTTCATCCCTAGCCAGAGGTCTCTGGGCAGGAGCACAGGGCAGCGGGAAGTTGGTAGACTCATAAGAGCACCTGCCTATTGTGCAGGGGCTATGCAAACACCGCAGTCCTCATCCCAAGCAGGTGCTGTACATTGTCCAGAATGGACCTCCAGGTGGCTTCCTATGTCACTCAAACATGACCAAGCCCCTTCTCTGGGCAAGGGCTGCTGGTCCCCTCTTTCCAGCTGCTCAAAAGCATAGATCATCAGTCTCGTGGACAGACAAGGAGACAGGACTCAGAAAAAATTAAACTCGCTCCAGGCCCCACAGCCCAGAAATGGCAAAAGCAGGAGAGTAGCTGACTCCATCTGACTTTTTACCACCCTGGACTGCCTTTGCAAGCTTCCCATCTCATGAGCCCACCCTGGCCATACATGGATGTTTGGGGAGAGCATGAAACACATTTTGTCAGCAGCAGGGTAGGAGCAGATGTGGGGTCAGAGCGCAGGGCTGATCTGGACTCTTCCTCTGAGGCAGGAGTGGATGGCATCGCCCAGGCGTACTCAGCCTGCCTGCCCCACATCCGCTTCTATGGTCCCACCAATTTCTCCCCCATCGTCAACCATGTAGCCCGGTTTGCAGCCCAGGCCACGCAGCAACAGACAGCCACGGTAAGTAAGCAGCTATAGCCAGGTGCATGCTGGGATAGGGCTGGCAATGGCCCGCACCACACCTGACACGAAGGGGAACGGGCTGGGGTCTGCACTTCCTCTCCTTCATCCCCATGGGGCTGGTGAGCAGGATATTCCACCTTCCCTGGTTCTAAATCCAGATGAGGCACTGCCTCTCTGTAGGCCTCTATTTACCTGAGTTGTAAGGCCGTTGGACCAAGCTGTACTTGACAGGGCCTGGCTTCTTGGAGCCACACTCAGGAAAGCAGTTTCATTTGTGCGTTGCAGGAAGTAGAGCTGTGACTCAGGGAGATGTCGCCCCAGGATGAGCGTGTGTGCAATTCCCAGGACAGATGGCCAGCAGGTGACCGTGGTCCCTGAGGCCCTGTAGCTGACCCTTTTAAATACCTAGGTCCAATTAGAGCAGCCCCTGCCACTTGTGGAGGGTTGCAGCACTGTCTGACCCTGGCCCATTGCTCAGTATCAAGGCATTACTGGCCTGGCTTGAGGTTGCCAAGGCTGTGGCATGGTGTCTAGAACATATGGCAGATGGCCATCTTGGGCATCTCTGTCCTTAGCCCTGGCCCCCTCGGGCTCCAACTCCAGGCAGGTCCTACAGCAGTGCCAGATGCCAGCATAGGGGTCAACCAGGGTCATCTTGCCTGCTTCCCCACCACCACCATGACCTGTCCTGACCTCCTCAGCAGAATAGGTTGAGGGTCTTCTACCCCTGCCCTAAGGCCAGTGCCTCTGATGTCCTCTCACTCCCCTGTTGACCTCAGGGACCTGAATGATCAGAAATTGACAAGTAGGGCTTCCCAGCCCCTGGTCCCAGCCCTGATCCTCAGGCTCAAGCCATCCTGGGGGCAGATCCTGTTCTGGGGTAAGGAGACTTGAGTCCAAACTGGCCACTTCTCCCTAAGAGACCTCAGTGAAACCCTGCCCCTCCCTTGGCTTCTACCTCCATTGAAAGGAAAGTGTTGCTGAGGTCCCTTCTAGAATGTTCTTTTCACTGTACTCCATAATATCCCAAATTTTCCTTTTTCCCCTTCCCATGGTCCCCTCCCTGTCTCATTTTTATACTGCAGCTGCCCTCTCCCATTCTTGCCCCCTACACTCCACTCTCCTGGTAGGCAGAAGGTGAGATCCACCACACACCTGGTGAAACCTCCCATAGTCAGATGGGAGCCTTCTCTGTGGCCTCTCCCTCCCTGTCAGCCAGCCTCCTCTCCTGTTGTCCTTCCTTTTCCCTCACCAAGGGTGATTCCACATCCCAAACTCTTCCATGACTCTCAAATGCACTAACTGAGCCTCTGCTTAGAGTCCTTCCCCATACTCCCCATGGCCGCTCAGTGTCCCTGCAGTATCGCCTCTCCCAGTGGCCTTCCTTGACTACCCATCTGACCACCCAGACCTTCCACATTCTTGCTTCTGATTCTGGGTGGCAATGTCTTGTTCATAAGCCTTGCATTTCACTCTGCTGTTATGCATTTCCCTAATTCTCCATGTTCACCATCGTGTCTCTGAGCCCAGCACAGAGCCTGCTATGTGGTGAGTGCTGTGTGAACAGATGGCTTTAGGTCCAGCCCTGCTGTGTATGGCTTCAGGAGCATGGGTGAGACCCAGCAGAGACTTTTTCCAAAGGGAAAGGGCCCTGGGCTATGAGTGAAGGGAACCATTGGGACCACCTAGAGGAGGGAGGTGCCTGGTCACTGGGGAAGTAGAGTTGAGTTCCACAAAGTAGCAGCAAAGAGAAGAGAAGGGGCTCAGGAGAGAGTGAGGGGACACAGAGCTGACTCCAGGGAAGGACAAAGCCTGTTCTGATTGTCCTGGAGGCAGGGCAGGGTCTGGGGCCACAGGAACCCCTGGAATCAGATATCCTGTTCCTCCTCCTGTGTGCCTGGGGCAGATCACAAGTCCTGTTGTGCCCTGGGGTGCCAATAGGGCCCACTGAAGAGCTGGTCTTAATATTAAATGAGATAGCACAGCACTGGTACCCAAAGGGACTTGAAGGACAAGCCAGCCCAGGGTTCAGGGAACCATGTTCCAGGAAAGAGGGAACAGCAAGCACAAAGCACTGAGGTGGGGACAGGCAGGCAGAGGCTGGTGGCCTTTGCTGTGGGTGTGTGACAGAGCCATCAATTCTAGTCTCCCTGGCCATAGCAGCTGAGACCTGAATGAGTCCCTTTCCAGCTCTGAGCCTGTTTCCTCTTATAAAATGCTGTCCTCTGGGTGGCATGAGGATTGGGACCACATGAGTGGGCAGTAACTCAGAAAGGCCTGGGAGGGACATCGTTTTTAGTTGCTGGTCCCGGGGTTGAATTTATTGGAGGAGGCAGAGGAGAGGCAGCTTTCAACTTCAGTCCCTCCTGTGAGGCCACCAGCCATGGTCCCACCCACTCTTGGCCACCTGAGTCTGCTCTCGGATGGAAAATAGGCCTGCATTTTTCTCCCAGAAAAACAACCTGAGTGGGGGAGCAAGAGGGCACCCTTCCAGGACTCCTCTGTGCTGCCAGTTAGGGTCAGACTGGGCAGGGTTGGGGTCCTGGGAGAGGTGGACCATGCCTACTGGACCCCAGGTCTGGAGAGGACTTGGGCCCAGGGACAGCAGCTGGGGGCTCCCTGGAGAGGAGTACTGGGCCCTTCTTCCAAGCAAAAGGACTTAAACATCAGCCTTAGCTGGTGCTCCCAGCCGCCTCCTGGCTCCCTTCACCTTGGTAAACTTTCACCCACCCAGACCGTATGACCTTGGATGATCTCTGAGCATCTCTGGCTGCAAGAATGGGACCAGGGGGCTCTCTACTTAGTCCTTCTCTGAGGTTCAGGAGTGGATGTAGCTGACTACACTTATGTTACCCCTTCCTGCCTTATGTTACCCCTGGTCTCAGGGTACACCAAAGAGGGGCATGGGATTGCCCCTATGGCTCAACTTCAAGCTCTGGAGGACCTGGTTCAAGTCCCATCTCTCCCCACTTCCTGGCTATGTGACCAGGGCAAGCAGCTTAAGCTCCCTGAAGTGTATTCTCTTTGCCTGTACAACAGTACCTGTCTTCTGAAGCACTGTGAGGATTCACCTAGATGGGTACATAGATTTCCTGCCCAGTGCTTGTCATTCAGGATGTGCTTGCTAGTGACAGAATCTTCTGAGGGCACCACGCAGGCACGTATTTAATATCAAGCATAGTTAGGCCCACAGCTAAAGAAGTAATTTGTGGATTATCTGAAGGTTTTGTTCAGCCGTTTTGTGGTTTGGGGGATTCTTTGCTATGGCTTCACTTTCTCTGTCACCAGCCATATGTGCACACATGCACACCCACATACAGGAAACAGAGAACAAGTGGCAGTGGCATCTCTCTAGGCAGGCCTCACTCTCCCATTCATTCCCTCCATGTGTCTTTCCAAGAGCATATTTGTGCATGGCGCAGGGGAGACCATAATGAGCAGGTGAGGGGGAACCAGATCAGAGGGGTAGCAGTGAAACTAAGGCCTGTGCTGGTGACAGTACAAGACCACAAAAGTGGCACCTAACCAACAGAGGGCACGGGGAAGCTTCTTAGAGAAGTGACATCCAAGCTGGGACTTGGGGGATGCTCAAGAGTTGGCCCCCTAGAAGATGTGTACATGGAGTGGCCAAGCAGAGACAAAGGCATTGCAGAAGCCGGAGAGGGTCAGGGGAGCGTGGGGGACGTGGGGGTCCTTGCCTTCAGGTGTGGCTGAGGGAAGGTATGTGGTGTAAGAGGACTGTGGGGATAGGTGAGGTTGAAAAAGTGAGACAACTTCCACAGGACCTTGGGAGCCATCAAGAACTCTGGATTTTCTCCTGAAGACAGTAGGGAGCCACTGGGAGGGTATTAAGCAGGTTCTGGTGGCCTAAGAAGGACACCTTTCATAGCTCTTCATCCTTTCCTCTGCTTTGTCCCATAAGACCTGAGCCTTGCTGTTCATGGCTCATTCCTGTTTGGTGCCCCAGTGGAGGAGGAACCAGGAAGCAGGCAGCACCTTGGGAGTTTCTCCCACTCCCATCCCTGGGGCCCTCGGCAGCCAACTTCTCAGAAATGAGCTGGGGGTACGCACAGCTTCCCCACATTCTGCCTGGAACTGCTATGATCAGGTCAATTTCTTCTAATCAAATCTCATGTTAAATGCATTAGGAGAAGCAGCTGTTTACAGCCCTGGAAACCTGAAAATGTGGCAAGGGCTGGTCCATCCTTGAGATGTCCTGGAGGCTGGGTTTGGGGGTTCTGCCTGACAGCGATTGGCTGTTTCTGGGCCTGGACAGGGTGCCAGGCCCATGAGATGTAGCGTGTGGGAGAACTGCCCGAAGAGTGGGGAAAGAGGTGTGTGCAGAGGGGCATCTTGGGGATCATTGGTGGCAGTGGAAGCAGAGTTCACATCTGCTGGGGACAGAGGATCCTACACTTGGTGCTGCAGCTGGGAAGGGCATGCCAGGAAGGGCTGTGTAGTGGGCAGCCCAAGGCTGCCTGTGGAGAGAGCAGGGCCTGCAAAGCCCCTTCCTGCCTGATTCTACCCCATCCTCAACCCCCTCCCACTTTGCCTTTCATCTGTCCTGGGAGCTAAGCAGCGGGGATCTAGGGCAGAAATGGATCTTTGAGGCTCCAGGAGAGCCCTGGCTCTGTCCAGGCTGGGTAAGAAGCCCAGGACCTGTCAGCTGCACTTCCACTATCAAGACCAGCCCAGGCTGCCAACCCCCAGGAGTGAGTGCTTGCAGCCAGGACTCCAGGACCTACCCCAGACTGCTGTCCTGGCCAGTCAGTTCCTCAGACAGCAGGGTGCTGGGTGTGAAGCTCTCCTCTTGGTAACAGGCTGAGCAGCTGAGGAGGACATCATGGAAAAAGCCCCAACTTTGGAGTCAGCTGGGGTGACTGGATATGAGACTTTAACAAGTCACATAACCTCTCTGAGCATACTGGACTCACAGTGTGAGGGTGGCAGGCAGTGTCTGTCACCACTGTCATTGTGTTTCCAGGTACTCCCCGCCATATCGGCTGGTACCCACAGCCTGCAGGAACCACCCGTCGGCTCTCCTCTCCCTGGGGGGAAAGCAGCAAGCCAAGATGGCCACTTGGGGAGTGGTGGGTGCATGTCTGAGCTGGAAGGATTTAAAGACCAGGCTCACCCCTGACTGGGGTGGCCAATTAGACCACAATCCAGCATTCTTTTCTTTTCTGGTCACCAAGCTTCTTGACCTCTTTGTGTCCTCCCTCCTGCCAGCCTAGGTACCCTAGGAATATTGTCTGGGGCCAATTGTGATGGGATTAAAGCCGGTCAAAGGCCACCTAAGGGAAGGGACCCAGGAGCATTGGTAGGTGGTGGGGGAGGGGGCCATAGTCTAGATGGGTTTATGAAGCCCCAAAGCCAGAGATGGGGGGCTGGTAGCAGCCCTACACTGCAGGATTCTGGCTGCCATCTCCATGGCAACAGGTATCCCCAGCCAAAGGACTGGTCTCTTAAAGACACAGTGCAGGAGCTGAACTACTGCTGCTTGCAGTGGTGGGGGCTCAGCCACTCCTTCCGTCCAGTTTGTACTTGGAACACACAGGGAGCAAGGCACCCTAGGGGCTGAGCCTGTAAGCGCTCCAGGTTCCCCAGGGAACCAGCTATGTTAGGTAAAAAGGTGGCCCAGTGCTGACCTGGGTCACTTCTGCCCTCCTTAGCTATGTGACCTTGAGTAGCCCCAGGTCTAGTTTTCTTTTCTGGCAATCGGAAGGTCCAGAGTAGCAGGCAGAGGTCCCCAACAGCGAGTCTCAGCACCATAGGGCTTATCTGTTTATTTTTTGGACAGGTAAAAAAACTGAGTTCCCCCAACCAGGAAAAGAGGTGTCGAGGAAGGAGCTGAATTGAAAAGGAGGTACCAGCCAGTTTGGAATCCTAGGCCTGCTGTGAGCTTTCCTGAACCTCATTCACTAGCCTAACTGTCACGATTTCTACTTTATCCTCAGATCGCCTGCACTAATTTCTTTTTTCAGTACTGGGGTTGAACTTGGGGTCCTTCACTTTCTAGACAGCTACTCTACCCTTTGCCATGTGCCTGACCTTTTTTTTTGCCTTATTTTTAAGAAAGGGTCTCAAGTTTTTGCCTGGGGCTAGCTTCCTACCGAGATCCTCCTACCTATGCCTCCCGTAGCTGGGATCACAGGCATGTGCCACCATGCCTAGTTTATTCAGTATTTTTTTTAACCAAAATAAATTGTAAAGAAACCTTATATCCCACTGTACATGAATAATCAGCATCACTTTATGTAGATAGAGGTAAAGTAAAAATAAATGTAGCAGGCTGCACAGTGGCATTTGGGTCCAGCTGAAGGCCATTGCCACCTGAAGTCCTGAGCCTCCTGCCTTGCCTCTGTTGATCAGGCCAATGAAGCTTAGTGAAGGGTATGGCACTGGCATCATACCAAGGGTTTCTCCTGGGTACAGAATGGAAAGACCACACCAGGCCAGCTTTTCCCAGCCTGACTCCATGCTACTGAATGCCATGACTGGGATTTTATTGACCAGCAAAGTCCACATCCTGGAAGTGCTGACCCGTATGACCTGCTCTTAGCTCCTTCAGGTGCCTCATGCCATAATGGCTAGGGAAAGAATGGGGTACAGGTTCTCCTGCCCAGGGGAAGCTGAGGAGGGGAGGATGGCCCCACATTGTGGGCCAGGCACAAACCATAGCCTGTCAGGAATGCAGCAGACAGCTGCTGCTATGTGTCAAGCATGGTCTCTTTGAGCAGTACTCCCAACTTGCAGGTGAAGAAATGGCACAGTGAGTTAAGTCAATTGCCCAGAGTCCTATGGCATAGTGACTGGCAAAGCCGGCCTTGAGCCAGGGGCTTAGACACCAGAAGAGAAGAGTCGGAGATGACACACAGGGTATAGGCAGCACATTTTCCTCCCAGCACTCAGAAGATCTGGGAGGAGAGAAAGAAGGGGTGCCAGGACCTAAGGACCTTGCTCAGTGCCTGGTTGAATCATCCCTGCAGCAATACTTCATCCTCCTTATCATCACGGATGGTGTCATCAGTGACATGGAGGAGACAAGGCACGCTGTGGTGCAGGCTTCCAAGCTACCCATGTCCATCATCATTGTGGGTGTGGGCAATGCCGACTTTGCTGCCATGGAGTTCCTGGACGGAGACAGCCGCAGGCTGCGCTCACACACAGGCGAGGAGGCAGCCCGCGATATTGTGCAGTTCGTGCCCTTCCGAGAGTTCCGCAACGTGAGTGCCTGGGCCTGGTGGGGGGCAGTCACAGGGCCCAGCAACAACAGCTCCCACTCAAGGGGGAACATCTGGGGAGGGACTGTCTGGCCCAACCCTAGACCTTTCCCCCTCAGCTCCATTGGCTTCCTGGGGGGCCTACCATGTGCCAGGCACTGTGATGCTGAGAGCACCAGAAGCAGTACCCAGTCCAGACTGAGGCCAGGCAGGGTGCTGGGAAGACCTGCCCTCTAACTGGGTTCCTGAGTAGAACACAAGTTAGCCTCATGGGCAAAGCAGTTGAGGTTGGCAGAGGAACAAGGGCAGAGGCCCAGGGTGAGAAGCTATCCAGTACATTACCCTCAGCCAGCCCCTCGTTCTGCAGAAGGAAAGATGGAAGACAGGAGTCACCCTTCTCATCTCAGCTTGGCCTCTTTCTCCAAAAGCCTCTTCAGGAGGAATCTGTGGCCCTACCTTGTTCCAGGAGGTGGCTCTGGCTTTACTGCCGTGACCCCAGGCCTGCCCACAAGGAGGCCAGGGTTGGCAGCAGGCCCGTGAGGAACCCTAGAGGGGCTGGGTTGTCTCAGATGCCATCTCTGCAAAGCCTGCTTGGGGCCTAATCCTCACAGCACCATAGGCTCACGTGTGGCCCTGGGCAAGCTTTGAGCTCTTGGAGCCTTGGTCCTGCAGCTGAAGGGGCCTTTGAGGCTCCGTGGCTCAGCAAGAAGTAACCCAGTGGGCCTCCCATCTACCCCAGAAGCCACTGGGTCTGCCCAAGGTGGTTCTGCTTCTTCCTTGAAGCATTAACTTCCTGAGAACAAATGCTGGGCTTTAGTCACTGTCCCAGGTTCATGCCCAGGACAGTGACTGAGCTATTCAGGGACTGAAGCCTGTGCCTGGTCATTAGCAAGAAATCAGACAGTCATGGCACTCTCTATCAGTTGATGAGGTGTTCAGGACAGGCTTACCAGCCAGTAGGCTGCACAGCAATCTAGCAATCTTCCCCCCTAAAAGCCTCCCCCAGACAAATTCATCCTAAAATGTTATTTCTCGGGCATGTGCAGCACACAAGGTAAGAGTTCTACTTCCATAAAGGAAGCCACTGCTCGTGGGGGGTTACAAGCACAGGCTGGGGTGAGGACTGCCAGGTTTGGAGTACCTCGGCCTTCAACCCACATTTGGTCCTCTATGGACCCCTGCCGCTCAGCTCTCTGCACACAACAGCCCTTTCCAACTTAGGTTCACTAACCTCCCACCTCTCTCCTCTTTACCCCACCCTCACCCTACAGGCAGCAAAGGAGACTCTGGCCAAAGCTGTGTTGGCGGAGCTACCCCAACAAGTCGTGCAGTATTTTAAGCACAAAAACCTTTCCCCCACCAACTCAGAGCCCGCCTGAGCCCTGTGCCCAGCAGCAGCATGCCAGCTGAGCCCGCCCTCCCTGGAACGTGCACGTTCACCCTGCTTCCTCGTGGGTGGCCTTTTTTACCAGTCCACATTTTTATTTTTTACAACCAGACCTCCACCCCCGACTTCCCCCAGTCCAGCTGGGCTTCCTTAGTTGAAGTCAACCCATGATGCTTCCAGGCCAAACTGGCTTCCCCCACTTAAGTATTGAATGTACTTTGTATAATTTTAGTGGAATTGTTATTGTTATTAAAGAGAATAAAATTTTTACAATCATAACTGGCTTTTTCCAGGTAATTAGCTGCAGAAAGGAATGTGTCCCTGGTGCAAACTGTGTTGTGGCCTCACCTAATTGTTTTTTATACTGTGACTGTGTTCTATCTGTTACACTCAGGGTAATAAAAGCTTCAGACATCCCTGTGTCCGCCAGCTTCTTCCTCAGGCAGAACCTGAGGGCTCACTGATTTGGAAAAGGTGATGTAATAGGATAGACCCCTGTCCCCACCCAGCACATCTGAGGAGTTGGTGTGATCCTGTGTGGGGACTCTGTGAAGCTGGCATGGGACACACAAGCCCACACCATTCTCTGGGAGTCCCCACTCAGGCGTGGTCACCATCTTATGGTCCCCCTTCTTCCTCTGGGCCCACACTGTCCTATTCTTCCTCACCGCCAGCTGGACAGCAGTTGCTTCCACCCACTTGCTCTTCCTCTAGGTCCCCTGAACAACATGGTCTGCAGTATTTGAAAGCCTCTTTGGCCTCAGAGCCCTAAATAAGGCTGTGTCCCTGCTGTTTCTATTGCATCCCCCTTTCTGGGCACAGGCCCAGTTTCATGAGATCAAGTCCAAGGACCACTCTCTGGACCCAACCCTAGCCCTCCTTCCTCTTCCCTCCCACATAACACCTCCCTCTCCCTTTTGTCCACCTCCCCTGGAGCTGCAGTCAGTGCTTTTGACATAGGCTGAGGTGACCAGTATTAGTGAACATTTCTACTGAGCACTGTGTTCCCAGATCCCTATAAGGCACTGACTTGCTGAACCCTCCCTATAGCCACTGACGAAGACCATTTCAGAAAAGTGCACCAGAGAAGTGCATCACCCGTGAGGCACTGTGGTCCTGTGCTTGGTCTGCAAGAGGCTGTCTGCTCAAGCTGCTGGCTAAGGACCTTGCCACTCCCTGCTAAGTCAGCTCCCAGTTGCTCCCCCAGGTCAGTCATTCTTCCTGGCAGCCTGGGAGAACTGGGCAGCACCAGGCAGGTCCCCCTGCCAGGTACCCACAAGCTCAGGAACCACAGTGTGTCCAGTGGGGTGAGGGCTACCACCACCCCAAGCCTCTGCTCACTCTGTGGCCACCAGGAGCTAGCAGAAGGATTCTTTAGGGATACCTTCAGTTTTCTCAAGAGGGCTGCAGAAGGACACAGAGCTCTGACTTGTACACAGTCCCACAGGAAGGCACAGCGCACTGGCTCCTGGCCAGCAATGTGATGGGACCCCAGTGCCAGTACATCTGGCTCATTTCAGTTTGTTTGCTTGACCAGCTGCAAAGCTGTTAGCCAAGACACCAGCACAGGACTCCTTATAGTTACTCTTGGCAGTTAAGTGAATCTGCTGGATATCACATTCAGGTGGCCTGTACCATTCCACCAGGGAGAATCTGTTAGCACTGACTGCTCCATCTTAAAGCAGACTCCTCCCAGCCCCACATTCCCCCTTTCCTCTCACAGGAAGGTGTACCAGGTGACTGCCTCTCACCAGGCCTCTGTACTTCCTCCTTACAACGCCCCACAACATAACCTCCCAGGCTGGCAAAACTGGGGAGGAGACTTGTGTATACTGTGCCATGTTAAGGCCAAGTCCCCACCTGGCACCAGGGTCTGTCCCCAATGCTCATGCTCTTACAGACCAGGTGTGCAGGCCAGGGCCAGCATCCTAGCTTCCCAGCCATCTCTGTCTGCCCCTGCTCTGCTTGAGACTTTGTGGATGAGTCACACAGGCATGTCCTCCTGGCTGCCTTAATCCACAGAAGAAAGGGGTGACTACAGCCTAGACAGGGATGAATCACTTAAAACTCCAGGCATTGTTGCTGCTGCTTGGTTCTTATACATGGGTGGCAGGGGGAAGGGCCAACCTGGAAACCTGATCAGAGAGGATACCTTCACCCCTGAAACTCCTCCATGGAGGCCTCAGCACTGTGTTTTTTATTGAAACCACAGGCCAGATTTAAATGCTCAAATGAAAACTGTGGGGTTTTTTGGTTTTTTTTTTTTGGTGGTTGTTGTTTTTGTGGTACTGGGGTTTGAACTCAGGGCCTCACATTTGCTAGGCAGGATCTCTTACTGCTTGAGCCACTCCTCAGGCTCTTTTTTTTGATGGATTTTTTTTTTTTCAAGATAAGATTTTGCAAACTATTTGCCTGGGCTGACTTTACTGCAATCCTCCTGAGTAGCTAGGATTATAGGCATGAGCCACCAGTGCCCTGTGGAAGTTCTGGTTTTGCCACCTAGCCATGAGATCCTCACAAGTCACTGAGACAATCCGAGTTTTGATTTTTTCTAGAGAAGGGCTATCTCCCAGGATGTTTTTCAAGATGAAAGACACTGACCCACTAAAATAAAGCATAATACCCCATGTCACCCAACACGCTGCCTGGCACGTGGACAACAGGGCCCCAGGATGTACAGAGTGAAAGGAACCAACACAAGGGATAACGGTGTGTGTGATCATCACTGAGCTAGGAGGAGAGAAGCAGCCTAGTGTATAGGCTAAGGCTAAGGGCTGTCTCCTGCTGGGTTTTTGTGCCTGTCTCTTCTGAGGCCAGGGCCACATTCTGCCTGCTGTTGCTGTGAGACTTCCTCCCCTAAACCATTGCTCCAGCAGGTAAGGAAGCAAAATGCCAGTCTTTGCCAGTGTCATTAAGGCATGAGTATGTGACTAGCTTCTTGTACTCAACCAGTGACTACAAAAGTGTTGCCAAGATTCCAGCCTCCCACTGAGCTGAGCTTGCATTCCACCCAGGTATGTGTAACTAGCTGGGCATGTCAGGAAACCAAGAAAACAACCAAGTCCAAATGATTGTGTGCTGCCACTGAGCTCTCCTTGTTGTTTTCCTAGAGGGGCTTAAGATGACAGCTGAGCCACATACCCACAGCAAGGACACTCGAGCCAAGGAACTTTGTGTGCCTGAGCAATTAACATTTAGCTAAGAGAGGAACACACAACAGAAGCTGGCAGTGGAGCTCTGACAACCAGACCTGACCCTTCAACATGTCACTATTCTAACTGCAACTGAGGAATGCCGGTGCAGCACATAAACCTGCATAAGTCATGCTACCCTACACCCATAAACAGGGAAGGTAAGAAGGAATTTAGATGATCATTTTCCCTCCCTAGCAGGAGTTATTCCTGGTGGTGGTTATTCCTGTCTCCCAAGGGGAAAATGAGGGCCCAAGAGGTGAAGGACCCTCCCAAGTGACACTGCTAGCAAACATCTGGCTCCAGGTTCATAATTACTATGGTTTAACCATGGAAGGTGGATCGAGGCTGAGTTACCAGGGAAGGAGAAACTGAAGCAGCAGGGCTGGTCTAGGCAAATGAAACTTCGCTCTTAGATGGGATGGAGGCAGCCTTCTAGAAGGGAAGGACTTAGGAGCTGGAGAGTGGAAGAAACATGAAGGAAGGGACTAGCTGAAGTCACCCTGGTTAGAGGCTGACTCGCAACCTAGGATTTTCTTGGCGGGGGGGAGGGGGGAGGGGGGAGTGGGGAATAAAACCCCTTGGCCCCTGGATGTAGGGAGCCAGCTTCTCTCCACTGGGTCCTGAGACCCACAGAAGGAATACATAGGTAGAAAGCCACCCGCCTTTCTGGGTCCAGTCATATCAGCATCCCCCCTTTTATAACCTATATTCCTTCTTATATATATCAAAACTCAAGCTGTACAGTGAGTTCTAGGTTGCAAGAGGATTTTTTGCACCTGTCTATAATATATTCTTTGTCTACAAGTTAAAAACACAAGTGCTACCTCCCTGCTTTTTTATATAAGGAAAAGTGGATGCTTTGAATTTCAAGCCCTTTTCCTCCCCACCCATGTGGATGGCAGGACCTCAGATGAATAGCTGACAGTAAATGTCTGGAAGGGCATGAGTGACAAAAGCTGGATAATCAATGCCCCAGCCTCCCCCACTGCTGGAGCTGCCATTGGAACTGCTGTTAGCTAGCTTGCTTTCTCTGACAGTGCTAAGATTACTGCTATTCAAGACAATGTAAGCAGACTTAAAGAACCCCAAACCTGGTTTTTACCTTCTTACCTTGTAAAACTTTTGCTAGTAAGGCAGGAGTACAGTACTGGTTCCAGGACCCCCTTGGATACCAAAAATCTGCAGATGCTCAAGCCCCTCCTATCTGGTCACATAGTATTTTACATAGGACCTACATACATGTTCTCATATACTATAAATCATCTCTTGATTATCTATACCTAATACAATGTAAGTGACATGTAAAAAGTTGTTCTACTCTACACTGTTTAGGGGATGTACTAGGAAAAGTCTGTACATATTCAGAACTAGTGAAAGTCTTTTTTCAAATATTTTTGATTCATGGTTGATTTAATCCACAGCAGCAGAACCGGCCGACTGTACCACATTCCAAGGTTTAAAGCAGCATTTCCTTCCATCTCTGCTCGTTCTATTCTTTGATATGGAACTACAAGGTTCACCTTGGATGTGTCCCAAGGCTGCTTCTCCTGTTGTCAACCCAGCCCCTGCTTTGCTAGCAATAGTTTCTAAGAAGCTTGTTTCAGCTCCAGGGATCTATGCTGATGGGTACAAGGGACTATGAGGACCCCTAGTGATGCACAATCTCTCCTGGTGTCTACAAGAGCAGAAATCTCGATCTTAGGTTGAGATTGCAATTCCAGCATTAGGGAGGCTGAGGCAGGAGGATAGCAAGTTTGAGGTCAGCCTGGCCTAAATAGTAAGACACTGTCAAAAAAAGAAAAAAAGGAAAGAAGAATGGGAGGAAGGGAGGAAGGGGAAGACTTGGTCTGAAGACTCAGCTTGCTCCATACAATTTGCTGAGAGATGGGAGAGTTGGAAGCACAAGATGCAGCACAGAAGCAAACGCTCATTCTCTGACAGGTTTATAAATTTTGAAGTTAATGTATGGCTTTAATCCCTGCAGCATTTGTCAACTTCTTCCAACATCAACAAAGGCCATGAGGTACAGTAACAGCCTCTGAAAGGTCAAACCATATTAACTATAATGACTTTGATGCCTTGGCCTGCCTCCTGAAATGGTTTGGGTTGCTTTGAGTACATGCTGTTATAATGACAGCACCATCACAGGAACAATGGAGCAGAGAGGCAGAAGGTGCCTACACAGTTTTACCTAAACGTCTTGTTTGTTAGGATGGTGCTGACGCACCCGCACTGACAGTCAGGAACAATTAGCACCAAGAAGTCCTGAGAAGGAGGCAGCATTCATAAGGCATCCGTTATGGGTGAAGGAAGCCACCATCTGCTGATGGGCACCAAGTGTCGCTGCACTGCAAGGGGAAAAGAAGTGGATTGGATGAGATCTGGGGGCCCCTCTGCCCACGTTCAAACTGAGTAGCTTCTTTGCCTGCTGGCATCGCACTGCCAACACATTCAGTGTATGTCTCGCTCAGTCTCACACCCAGGAAAGGAGAAACAATTGATGTTGGAACCAAGGGGAAGAAAGAGCTGCTCGGGCTCATTCTGAAGCAGTGGCACACAGAATGTCTTTATAGCTAACACGTACAACTGTCCTTCAGGCCTCCACACCTTCTCTTCTCCATCCCTCCTTACCTCCCTCCCACTTGGGCTGAGCCCCAATCCACCCTTTCCCTACCTCTGCAATGAGACAAAGGGGGGACTCTGGTTCTTGGCTGCTCTGTTCTTGGCTTGGAGCTGCTCTGCTGGGAAGGGAAAGAGCAATAGGGCAGTGGACCAAGGAAAAGTATTAGGGCAGCACTTAGGCTGAAAACAGCATCCACATTCAAAAGCCACAACTGTAAAATGTATCAAACAGAGTGGTGCCTCTGTGGAGTTCAGAGTACAGTCATAACACACAGGACTGTCTCACTAATTTGCAGTATTAGGATTCCAGAAACTGCTAGAAATAGTCATCTTATTAACATATCTACCAACAGTTCTGGGTTCCAGCCACAATTAAATAAAGTCTACGTTTGTTTCTCTAAAGGTTTAGAATCTTAAACAAAACCCTTTATTTCAAAAACAAAAACAAGATAATATTGCCAGGTAGAGAAAAGGTAAGAAGACAGATGCCTTCTTATTACCAGTCCTTTCCTACATACATGGGATTGGGTGGAGAGAGGAGGATGGCTGAGAGCAAGGAAAAACTTCACAATGAAGGCTGCTGTTAACTGACAGCCCTGCAGCTGTGGTTTATAATCGTTAGTCACACAACATCAAGGACGTGTTAGTTCCAGGGACGTGCTCCATTTCATCACCCACTCAGCCCTCTTTCCCCGCATGCTCCACGACAAACAGCAATTCATCTACAACAGAATGCTTAAATAATACCTGCCCAATAACTGCCCTTGCTTCTTTGTGCTGCTGAGAAAGGAAAAGGAAAAAAGAAAGCAGTAACATCCAATGGCTCCCTTTGCAAACTTGCTGGTGCCTACCCCAGGGCACTGGCAGGGACCTTGCCCCATCCCATGTCAGTGAGGAAAGGCAGTGGACAGGTTTGGCCATCTGTGCTGGAGTGGAAAAAGAAACCAAACACAGTTCAGGCCACAAGTGGATTCTGGCACATTTTCGGGTCAGGTTAAAAATGTCACGGTGTGCACAGGAAACAGGCGAAGGAGTTCTTTCAGGGTGGTAATGCCTGGAGGCAGAATGGACCATCCGACCCCTCTGAGGAGCCCCATGTGGAAAGGCCAGGAGCTAGGGTGCCTCGAGGAAAGTGTTGGTTCGGAAGATGGAGGAGACAATCTTGCCAGTGGCATTGATGGTGCCCTCACTGTCTGAGCTCGACTCAGAGTCGCTGCTCCCAGAATAGGCGCCCAAACCTGGGAGGATGCCAATGCAGACAGCAGCCGAGGGGCAATGGATGGAGGGGCTGCTCAGAGAAGTGCTTCCGAGGGACATGCAGGATGGCGCCTCTGCAAAAAAGGAGGACACACTGTTACTCACCCTCACCAAAGGCGAGGGGTCCTTACCATGTACCAGGCACTGTTACCAGGGCTTTCTCCACAGAAGCCATGGAGCCCCAAAACAACACTATGCAGTCAAGACTCTGATCATCTTCATTTTGTAGATGAGTAAGCTGATAGAGGGCTGGGTGCTGGTGGCTACTTGGGAGACTAAAAATTGAGAGGATTGTGGTTCAAAGCCAGCTTGGGCACATAGTTCGTGAGACTCCATCTCCGAAAATAACCAGAGCAAATGGACTGGAGCTATGGTCTACGGTAGTACGCCTGCTTTGCAAGCATGAAGCCTCCAGTTCAAACCCCAGTCCCACTATAAAACAAAATCAAAAATAACAATAAAAAACTGATAGAGGGAGTAAAGTTCCAGGCAGTGAAATAACTTCTCAAGTTCTAGAGGTGAAGCTGGAACTTGAACCATGGTGTAATACCAGAGCCTAACTAATCTTCTCTTGTTCCCCATTAGCTCCGAAATGGAAAACAAACTACCATGCAGTGTCACCTGTTGTGTCTGATTCCCTGTTCTTACAAGTCATAGTATTACAGCAAATGGGATTCAGGGCTAGTATCTTCCTTACTCACTCTCAGGTAGAGAATGGACATGCTCTCAACAGTAAGGATGAAGCCACATTAGAGAGACCCTGTGAGTAATGAGAACAATTCAATTCTATTCTCAGCGTATTGCACCATACTTGCTAACTACTATGCCAGCTAGCACAAATACATTTTGAAGGCTAACATTACCTGCCCAATAACATTCTTTATTATGAAGGGACACTTTTCCCTGATGGGGGAGAAGAGTAACTGAGAAATTGATTGAACAAAACCTTTGCTTTCTAGTCCTGTTGTTTTTTACAACTGAGGACAATGAAGCCAGTGAGGTAATATTTTAAGACCATGCACAATGTCATTATGTATGTGGGGCTCTTTTCTTCCCAGAAAATCAAGTTATTCTGTCACGCCAAAGATGGAAAACCTCAATCTAGAAAATGCAGAACATAAGGTTAAAGGAAAAGTGAAGAATACTATTCCGACCCTTCTGCCAGCCTCGTGCAATCACTGTAACAACCTGATCTGTGGGCATTAGCCCCGTCTACTGATGAGGGAAGTTGGAGGACTTGGCAAGCTTACAGGCTACTTAGAATAGAAAACATTAAACTAAACCTGAGTCAAAGGTTATTGTACCAAAGCGATACCAGAGCTCACTGGAAAGTAAGGGTCGGAGTTCTTGTGTCATTGTCTTGGGCACACCCCTTCTGGGATTTGCATTCAATGCACCAACACCTCACACATATGCAGACACCTCAAGAAAATGCAAAAAGGGCCTAGTGAGATACACACCTGTTATCCCAGCTACTCAGAATGGGGAAACAGGATGATTGTGGTTTGAAGCCAGCCCTCGTGAAGTCAGCAAAACCTCAAAAGGAGGCTGGGCATGGTGACACATGCCTCTAATCCCAGCTACTTGGGAGGCAAAGGTAGGAGGATTGTGATCCAAGGCTAGTCCAGGCAAAAAACTGGAGACCCTATCTGAAAAATACTAAAAAGAAAAGGACTGTGGGTGTGGGGCAAACGGTAGTGCGCAGCCCTGTGTTCAGTCCTGGTAGGCAGAAAAAAAAAAGGATATGAAACCAGAGTCAGAAAAAAATATATTGAGTGAGAAACTAAAAGAACTATCACATGGTCAGTATGAAGAATTTGGGAGCTCAGGGTATCTTCTCCTCTTTATAGGACACTCCAATAATGGAGAAAGAGGCTACAAAGAGATACACGATGTTGAAACATGTCCCTGTAGAAAAGTAAAATAAGAGCAGACAACAACTGCAGACAGCAATAAAAAGGTTACCTTGAGGCAGAGATTAATATCTGTAAGATTAGAGTTCCCCCAAGCTATTAAAAAAATCAACAACTGAAGAGAAAAGTTAACAGAAGATACAGTTTACAGAAAAAGAAACAAATGAATCAGATGAATTTTAAACAAAATATATTAGGAGAGAATGTGTGAGCGACAGCCAACTTTGTATGTTGCTGAGAGAATACAGGGAAATTTGGCAATGACCTTCAAACTTCACTGATGTTCGTAAGAAACATTCACTGCAGCACTGTTTATACTAGCGAAAGGCTGGAGACAGGTGAAAGGTCCGTTAGTAGGTGAATGGCTCTCCTGGGCTAAGGATGTGACTCAGTAATAAAGCATGTGCTTAGCATGCACGAGGCCCTGGGTTCGATCCCCAGCACTGTAAAACAAAACAAACCAGAAATGAGCATCTCTGCACTGGAACTGAATGCTCTCCAAGACCCTGTGCTAAGTGAAAAAGGCAAGCAGCAGAACAGTGTGCACGTTACAATCTGTATGGGGGGAGACATGCCATACACATGTGTAACAATATCTAAAAAACTACCTAAAAAACTGGTAGCAATGGCTACCAGAAAGAATGATGGAACTCTTTCATCTCTTTTGAGCTTTTTATTATACACAATATATTACTGATTCAGACTTTAAAAAATGTGTTAAAGTAAATAGCTAATCTGGGGGGTGGATGTGGTGGTGGCAGTGGTAAAAATCTTTTAAAACGTGGGACAGGACATAAGATAGAGCATTTATTACTTGAGCATTCGGTATATTATTGTGCAACACATACAGAATGGTACTTTTGGTATTCTGGCAGAAAAACTCAACTAAAAAGGCTGAGAGCAAAAAGGATCAAGTTCAGAGAACCTAGGGAAGGGTGGAGGCAGCTACAGAACTGCAAATGAAGAAATCTGGACCACTGTGGCATCAAAAGAGTTTAAGTGAAAAGACAAGAACCCCCACTTATCTAGGAGGCTTCAAGAAAGAAAAAAGACTGCAACTTGACAAATTTCATTCCAAAGCTGTTAACTGTTCAAATAGAACAAAACGATGCCCTCTGGTCTCACCCATATGGTGAAGTTTCCTGCCAACTTCTGCATTTGCTGGACCACAATGTAACATCAAATTAACACAGAGAATTATGAAGAGAGAATGTTCTTGGGATTGGGGCAGATGCGTGACTTGGGAATAGATGGGGCCAACTTCTGCATTCAATGCCTCTGCTCAGGCTAGCTTTAGTAGGAGAAGCTACATCTCTGTCAGGGCCAAGTTATCTTCGGAGACCAAAGGGCAAACTTCTCCAGCTGAGGACAAGACTCTGAAGCAAGCTTCAGGGGGCATTCTTTGCGGGGCCTTTCCCCCCAGCAAAGGAGATTTCTTGCCTACCTTCTGCTGCAAGAATGCAGGGGTACAGAAGGCATTTAGAATGATAGAAAAGAGGGCTCTGAATCACAAGTGTCTGCCTGAGATAATTAAAAGAAGTCACAGTTTTCTTTTCCTTTGGTTCATTCCAACAGTTCCTACCAAGAAGTAAATATCAGATACAGGGCAACTAGCTTACTTGCTAATTGAAATGTGTTTAAGATTCCTATGAAGTTGTATGAGCGTGTGCGCACACATATGTAAGACAGTCCCCCTCGGTATCCTCAGGGGACTGGTTCTAGGAACAACCCCCCTTATATAAAATGGCATAGTATCTGCATGGAACCTATGCACATCCTCCCATATACTTTAAGTCATCTCTAGATTACTTTTTTTCCCCTAGATTAATTTTAATACCTAATTTAATACAGATGCCATGTAAATAGCTATATACTGCATTGTTTATGGAACAATGAAAAACAACCTGTACATTTTCAGTATAGATGCAATTCTTTCCCTTCAAAAATTTTTTTCTTTCTCTTTTTGGCAGTACTAGAGTTTGAACTCAGAGCCTCATATTTGCTAGACATGCGCTCTACCACTTGAGCCATGCTGTCAGGCCCCTTCAAATTTTGTTAGTCCACAGTAGATGAGTCCATAGATGTAAAACCTGTAAGTACAGAGGCCAACTGGACACATTTATCCTACTAAGCAACCATGTTTGGTAAGTTTCTTATATATTAAAAATGTGTCAGTGAATCGGGCGCCAATGGCTCAGTCCTGCAACCCTAGCTACTCAGGAGGCAGAGATCAGAATAGCAGCTCAAAGTCAGTCCAGGCAAATAGTCTGAGAGACCCTATCTCAGAACAAAACCATCACAAAAAAGGGCTGGTGGAGTGGCTCAAGGTGTAGACCCTGAGTTCAAATTCCAGTACCGCAAAAAAAAACAAAAACAAAAACAAAAAATAAACCAACAATGAATAGGAATCCTATATTGCAGATGAAAGTATAAACTGGGATAACTTTTCTGAATGGCAATTTGGTTATATTCTATTCAACTATTCCACTTCTAAGTAGTTAACCTGATAAATTCATGCATGTGAAAAATTATGTATGCGCAGGGCTATTATTGAAATACCACAATAGGGAAAAAATAAATACTCATCAATAAAAATGGATACACTATAGTACAATATTATAATACAGCCTTAAAACAAAATGAAGGAGCTCTGTAAGCGTAGTTATGCAATGATTCCCATGGTACAATAACAAGTGAATTAAGCAATAAACACAAGAGTTAGTTAAAATAAAACTCATGATAATTGGAAATACAAAGTAGGAAGTATTTTTGCCAAAAAAATCAACTTGAATTGATCAAGCTTCTATATCTAATTCCTGTTTTACAGGAAACACAGGGTATAAAGGAACACCATGGGGATGTACTTAGCAAAAGTATGGAGTATGGGAAATCCCACAGAACAAAGACCCAGCTTCTTTGCAAATATAATACAAAGGAAACAAACAAACAAAAAAATTAAAAAGGAGGAAGGGCCACTAAGTTAATTTCAAATTAGAAGACATGAGCCTATTGCTAAAATGACAGAAGAGCAACATCCCCAAATTAATCCAGATTCTAATAATCTCGACCATAATGTTAGCTGCTGTTTTTGCAGAAATTGGTAAGCAGATCTCAGAATTCAAATGGAAATGGAAGGGACTCTGAATAGCCAAAATGATCTTGAAAAAGAAAAAAGTTGAAGGACTCATACTTTCCAATTTCAAATTACTATAAAAGCTACAGGGGTCAAGACTATGGTAGTGGCATAAGGACAGACCTATAAACCAGAACAGAAAACAGAATACAGAGGTAAAGCATACATTTATGGTCAATTTGATGCATGACAATTCAGTGGAGGAAGGAATAATGCTTGGACAAATGGATATTCCCATAGAAGGAGATGGATCCCTATTTTATGCCATATACAGAAATTAACTCAAAATGGATCAAAGACTGGTTGAAAGAGCTAAAAATTATAAAATTCTTTGAAGAAAACAGGCATGAATCGTCATGAACATGAATCCTAAAATACATAAGCAACCAAAGAAAAAGTAACTTAGATGTCATCAAAATTAAAAACTTTTTTGCTCCAAAGGGCACTATCAAGAAAGAGAAAAATAACCCACAGAATGGGAGAAAATGCTTGCAAATCATACATTTAATAAGTATCTAGTATCCAAAATATATAAATCTTACTACTAAACAATGAAAAGACAAACAGCCCAACTTGCAGTTTGCTAAGAACTTGGATGAATATTTCTCCGAGTATAAAAGTAGCCTTAGATATATCATGCTTCACTTTTTTTTTAGCAGTACTGAGGGTTGAACTCAGAGCCTCACACTGGCTAGACAGGTGCTCTACCACTTGAACCACACCACCAACCCTGTTGTTTACATTTATTAGTTATTAGGGAAATGCAAATCAAAACCACAATGAATCTGTGACAAATTGCACAGCAAACTGACTTAAAAAAAAAAAATTGGGCCAATGGAGTGGCTCAAGTGGTAAAGCACCTGCCTAAGGCTGAGATCCCAAGTTCAAACCCCAGTACTGGGAGAAAAAAAAAACTTGCCTCCATGATAAAAAAGAAACTAGAGGTGGGGCCATGGCTCAAGTGGTAGACCACCTGCCAAGAGAAGTGCAAGGCATCAAATTTTTAAAAATTTAAAAAATAATAAAAAAAGAAGCTTAAAGGTAAAAGGCTTTCTTTTGGGTACTGAAATGTTTGGAATTAAGATAGTGGTGATGGCTGCACAACCATGTGCACATACTAAAAACCACTGAACGGTTATAGTTCCATGACTTTTTTAAGGCTTATGAGCCAAATACAATGTTTGGTCTTTGTCTGGATCTTTATTTAAAAGAAAATAATTGTTAAACCAGGTGTGGTGACTCTCACTTGTAATTCTAGCACTCATGAAGCTGAGAAAGTCTGCAAATTTGAAGCCAGCCTGAGCGACAGTGAGACCCTGTCTGCAAAATAAATAAATAAATAAATTGACAAGAAAAACATTAAGATAATTGGGAAAAATTAATACTAACTTGACATTTGATAATTAATATGATTTTTACAGTTAAGATCATGGTATTAATAAACAAAAAACCCTTTTTAAAAATGCATATTAAAGAATTATGAATAAAATTATATGATTTCTGGGATTTGTCACAAAATATTACACTTGGGGCAGTATAAATGAAAACCTGTTAAGGGCTCAGTAGTAGGATGCTTATCTATCCTGTGCAAGGCCCTGGGTTCAATTCCTTGTACCACAAAAAAATATATAAAATTGCTGAAAGTACTTGATGAGGGGATCATTACACTATTATTCCAACTTTTGAATCTGTTTCAAATTGTCTATAATAGAGTATTTTTAAAGTACATATTTGTAATTGCTTGAATATCCACAGAGCAGCTCTGGATGCATTAACAAATGTACAATATTGTTTGCCCGTGGAAAGGGGAACTGGATTGAATAGGGTGTGGGTGGAAAAGAGACTCCACTGATGGGCCTGTTTATAATTATGTTCTAGAGCAAAAGGGTAAAAGCAACAGCCCACCATCACTGGTGCCCTACAGAAACATTTGAAAAAGCATCCATTATTTTTTGAGAAAGAAATAAATGGTTTTGACATGATCCATTGAGGTTAGTTTAGAGTCTCAACTACAATGAAACTAAAAACAGACTCTTGAATTTTTCATTCCTAATTCTGCCCCCAAGAGCATTCCCCTTCACTTATAACTTGGTGCTACTTAATACAGAGGCAGATTTCATCACGTAAAAGTCACTACTGAAGCAAGTGTATTCTTTGAGACTGTAATGAAGCTTCTAAGCTCAATCCAATCCAACAATCAGCAGGAGCCGAGCATTCTACCTCCCACTGGTAGCAAGCCAGGTGAAATCAAGAAATTTGACATTTGGCGGAGAGGAGAAAAACCCTTTGTGAGCAGAGGTCATCTGACCAGGGCTTTGTAAGCCCTCCAGTGAGAACAGAATTGTCACTTCTCAGCTCCATGGTTTCTAACATATTTTTTTCGCAGGGCAGCTGACATACTCTTGGGTATAAATCTTGCCTGGCATAAAACAGCTTAGTAAATGACGTTTAGGTGGGCTTGAATGAAGACAGAGGAATGCACTCACTTACAGATGCAACGCATTCCAGTTCCTTACTGTGGTTCATGTGCATGAGTAAAAGCAAGACACGAAGGTGCTACCCACCTTGGTTCTTTTCATCTGGGTCAGGGTCCGGTTTCAATCTTTTCACACTGTTGCCACTGTCTGAGCTGTAACAAACAAACAAACAAACAAACAAAAAGTGGTCATTTGAGCTGTGTGCAATCTTTAGGAGCAAAGCTCAGGAAATCAGGCACTCTAGAAACCATCCTGGGTAGCCTCAGGAAGCTGGGTGATCTGAAATGAAAAGCATTCATTTGCATTCCTAATCTCCTTCCAATTATAAAATTTGTTATAGACAACTTCTACTCCTGACAAATCGAAGGGGTGAAGTATGTAAACTTCTGATTCTTTGTCATCTTTATCATTCAACTTAGTTAGAACCACAGATAGATTTTAAGAACATCCGAACTATTTGTAAATGACAAAAATTAAGTTAAATTGCTGGGTGTGGTGGTACATGGTTGTAATCCCAGAATTTAGAAGGCTGAAGCAGGACTGAGAGTTTGAGGCCAGCCTAGGCTACACAGACCAATCCGAGCTACAGGGTAAGACACTGTCTCAAAAAAAAAAAAAAAAAAAAGTTTACTTGTTAAGTATTGAAGAAAACATCTTCAATGACATCCAGAAGGGATGGTGAACAAAGAAATTGGCGAACACAAATAGAAATCTAAACAGATATAATCTGTATCTTAAAAAAAAAAAGTCAGCCAGGCACTGGTGGCTCATGCCTATAACCCTAGCTACAAAGGAGGCAGAGATCAGGAGGATGGCAGTTCGAAGCCAGCCTGGGCAAATAGTTTGCAAGACCCTATCCTGAAAAAAACAACACAAAACAGGGCTGGTGGAGTGGCTCAAAGTGTAGGCTCTAAACTAAAAAATAAAAACACCTAATTTGTGGTATTAAACATAATCATTATTAAAATCCTGGACAATTGTAGCACATAAGAAGAGGGTAACTGTAGGAAAGGATCTAAAGTCTGTGTTTGTATAATTTTACAGGGAAGTACAAAAGCAATTTAGTTTAGGTTTTGCTAAATATGCCTAGTAAGTTTCAAGGTTAACCACTAAAAGCATAGAAATGAGTATATAAATCCAAACCTATAGAAAGAAAAACTAAAATTTAAAAATCTCTCATTTTTTTCAAAAAATATATAGAAAAATCATGTCATAAAATAAAGCAACAAATTGAGGTGGTAGAAATTATAAGAAAAACTCAATACAAATAGACCACACCTATTAGTAAAGAGATTAAGAGAACAAATTTAATAGCAACTATATATGAATAACACACCTAAAATTTAATGAAAGAGAAACAAAACCAAGCAACTTAATAATCAGAAAAGTTAAAAGAAAAAGATTAGAAGAAAAAGAAGTACCAAGGGTAATACATAAAGATCAGAGTACCTATATTCATATTAGGAAAACAGACTGTTTTTTTTTAAGTCTTTAGTCCTAAAAACCAAAGGCAGCTGTATGTGGTGGTCCACACCTGTAATCTCAGCACTGAAGAGGCTGAAGAGGGGGATTTCAGGGTGAGACTTTGTCTCAAAAACCAAACCACAAACAAACAAAAATAACCTCCAAGAGCATTGTAAACATAAAGGTTACTTTATAACGAAATAAGGTTTTATTCATTATGAAGTAACAATTCTGAAGATGTATGTATCTAATTATTAAGAAGTTAACAGACTTCCTTCATGCTTACTTGGGATTGTCTCAAACATTCAACCCCAGGAACAGATGGCATAGTCTAAAGCCACTTTAAAAGAATGAACATACAAACCACAATACAATTAAGTCAGAGATCAGTAACAAACAATGAATATCATATTTCATAGCCTCTAAAACACCAATGATTATATGCTGTTAAAATAGGGGAGGGGCAGGTTTATCTTAAAATCAATGAAATATGGTTATTTCAAGATGGAAAATTTTAAATATATTTCTTCATTATTCTGAGTCAAAGAAACATACAAAATTCAAAAATACTTAAGAGGAAATATAAAACTTATATTCAATGAAAGCTGAGGAAAATTTACAGCATTGGGTGCTTCTAGCTGAAAAAATGAAAATGAATACGGTAGGCATCCCACAGTTGTTTATAACAATAAACAAAATAATAAATTTGAAGAAAGCAAAGAAGATTCCTTTGAAGAGGGCATGGAATAAGTGTTTGCTTGTTTTATGCTTCCAGACTTTCACTGGGCATCAGAATCATCCACAGACTTTAACAATGAAGAGTCCCACACCTCAAATTTATTCAATCAGAATTAGCGTGAGGCCTGGGTATCCACAAGCTTAACACACTCCCAGGTGAACCTAATAAACCTAGGGTGGAGAAGATTATGAACTCCTGTCCCAAGAGGCTAATTCATCACCTTGCTACACAAAGCCAACATTAAATGATGTAATTTCAAAATCCAAGAGGGGTTCAATGCAGGTCACCAAATAGGCTAACAGAGTCCTTTCAAAGGTGATCTAAAGACTAAGCAAAAGGAGGCAGCTGTAATACCCATTCAGCACCAGCAAGAGCACCAAGAAGTAACTAATGGCCTGACTGGAGAGCTCTTCCTTGCCATAGTACAACAAAACTGACCCAGCTGGGAATCCTGAGAGACACTGGGTTTGGTGTGGAAGCTTACATGTGAGGTCTTGAAAGGAGTAATTCATGGCTTGTTAACAGGCCTTCTTTCAGACCTCCTCTCCCACAGTGACATTTTTACACATAAGCAACGTTCCTAGGAACATCTGCCGCAGATGGATGGTGTGCCAAACTGCAAGACTGCATCAATACACTCCCTTCAAAACATGTGGCTGGTTGCCAATATGCCATATTGATTTTCCTAACAGACTGCACTTAAACTTAACATCATTTTGCCTGTGGTCTGGTTGGTCAAAAAGACTCAATCACCCTGTGCCATTTCAGTATTTGAAAGGGACAAAGAACTTAGCAAAATCTCTGGGTAGTGCTACCACTCCTGTATCAATTAAACTGATCCACAGTCAGGTCTGTAACCCTGTCACAGCTGCCAACTTCTCTCAAAGTCTCTGCAGCAGCTGTTCACTCAGCCTGGGATGTTCTCTCCCTTCCTTGCCTACCAAAGCCCTAGTGTCCAACCCAATCAGCATCTTTCTTTTTTCTTTTCTTTTTCTCTCCTCTTCCCTCCTCCCTCTCTTTCTGGATTTTTAAGATAGGGTATTGCTACATAGGATTGCTGGAACTTGCAATCCTCCCACCTCAGCCTCCCCAGTGCTGGAATTACAGGCATGTACAGCCATACCTTGCTTTTAATTGGCATCTTTCTAATGCCTTTCTGAACTTCCCCAGCTTGAGCTCATGCACCCGCCAGGCAGAGTTGTGTTCTTCCTCCTTACTCTCATTACCCACTACACAGTCCTTTCACAAGACTTGCTGCCTCATTTCCTAGAAACACAAAGGCTTAAATACTGAACTCCTGCTTTCCTAACATTGTGTGACTCTGGACAACAGTTCTGAACCTCTGAAGGTCTGTTTTCTCATCTATAAAACAGGGATCTCAATAATCTGTATTTAATAGAACTGATGAGAGGAATCAATGGGATTGTACACAGGAAGCAAGAGTAGCTATTAATTTGTTAAAAATGAATGATCAATGAGGGTCAAAGGCAACAGGAGGCACAAAATCTGGTAGAGAAGAGAGTTGTGAGCACAGGGAAGGAATCTCAGAGACTGGGTAACCTTTTGCTCTGGTTACAATCACAAGTTTCAGAATACCCCACTGGAGGGAGTTATGCTATGTGAGTGCCAGCTAACCTCTTGTGCTTCACGGCTCCTGCCAACAGCTTTGCCTGGGAGAACTTGTTCTTGGTTTCTATGGGTTTCACAGTCAGTTTCTTCTCCACTTCCTTCTTGTTTTCTGCAGAAATGCCAACCTTGTTGAGATTACTGTGAGTTACAGGTTAAGTGTCAAACTAAGCAAAAGGAAGAGCTTCCACAGGCAATGGTAAATCAAGAGAAAGACAACAAATATAATCCACTGGCCCCCTGGCTATAGCATGATACTTAGCACAATTATAAAAGTGAATTTTTTTTTAAAGCCCCTTCCTTCTTTATTTTACCTGTCAAATCCAGTCAATTTCAACTGGGTTTGACCCCAAAGGAAGATAGCATATCAAGCCCCAAGTAACATAGGGAAACAACTCTTCTCTCTGATTCAAAATGAAAATCTTAAAGCAGACAGAAAACTCACTGTTTCTAAAGACATGGTCAATATCATGCTTGAGGGGAAAACAAAGATCTCAACGAATATAAAGGAACAGAAAAAAAAGTGTAGTTTCCCTAAAAATAGGAGCTTCTCCCTTACAAAGGTGAATTCAGGTCTTATAGAATGTCCTCATGAATCTCAGTGGCACTCATCTCAGATGGCAAAGACTACCTCCAGCTCATAAAGATGAGGAGTCCCATCTTTGCTCCCAGCTATGATTAGGTTCTGGAGGCCCAGGGACCAGTTTTAACACTCTCTTAAGGTGATTTTTAACCAAAAACCCTATGCAAACAAAATGTAAGAACCCAGAGTGTCTTGAAAAGTATAAGCTGGGCCCGGCATAATGATACATGCCTATAATCCAACACCTGGAAGGTTGAGATAAGAGTTTCAGGTCAGCCTGGGCTATATAGTAAGATCCTGACTAAAAAACTAAATTTTAAAAAGCATAAGCAGAACACTTCTCACATCACTTTTCATGCTGGTGTCCATCTCTGGCTCATAAGGTCTGTCACTTTTACTAACAGTTCTTTCCACCAGACCCTCAGCTCCCCACATTTATTTTATGCTCTTTTTCACAACCTATTAAACAACCAATACGTATCTGACATGCAGCATGTTCTTAAGATGCAGCAGTACCTTACTGGAACAACAGCACCATCTAGTGCCAATAAATCTAAGAAGCAAGAAGTAAAGGATACAGACTAATTTAACTGTCTCTGTGTCTGTAAACAAAGGAGAACATGGGTAACAAAAATAAGGAAATTCTCATTCTGCTCCCTGTCACCTGTTCTGACAGGCACCAGTTACCTTAAATTATCTGTGCTAGTTGATGGAGGATTATGTAGAATACTCAGTACTATTCTGAGCTTCATCAATTAAATGTTTTTAAGGTCATCATGGAAACAGGTAACAAGTTAATAAAAAAATGTTCATTTTATAGAAAAAAAAAAGAAAGAAACAGAGACTTCATCTTTCTAGCAGAGAATACAAGAAACCGTACAATGTGGTGATTATTTTTTTTTTGTGGGACGGGGGTTTGAACTCAGGGCTTTCCACTTGTAAAGCAGGTACTCTACCACTTGAGCCACACCTCCAGATGATTTTACCTGCCACTCCATCACAAAGGGACAGAAGTTCTAAAAGAAAACTCTCGATATTAAGCATTGAAAAAGATTAAAAATGGAAAAATTAACATAAAAAACATGTATTTATAATAGCAAAAAAGAAACCCCACATTTAACTTTTTATTCTTTTAAAGTATAGAAAAGCTTCAACTTTGTTTGGCAGGTAAAGAGGGGGTATTATTTTTTGATCCACATCCAAAGCATAAAATTTCCCCCCCTTAAGTCCTTCTCTCCCTAAAATGCTTAAAAAACATAACCTCAAAAATCTTAAGGAATTCACTAAATGAGGCATTTTTAAAATTTTCAGTTTTAATAATATTGTACATAATATTGTTACATACTAGTTGAACTTGAAAGAGAACTAGAGTTCTTCTGTTTACACGGCACAAACCATAGCTTATTAGTATTCAGAAGGATCATACTGCCTGGCACCAGTGGTCCATGCCTATAATCCTAGCTACTCAGGAGGCAGAGATCAGGGGGATTGAGATTTGAAGCCAGCTGGGCAAATAGTTTCAAGACCCATCTCAAAAAAAAAAAAAACACAAAAAAGGGCTGGTGGAGTGGCTCAAGGTGAACCTGAGTTCAAGCCCCAGTACCACAAAAAAAAAAAAATCACATCATAAAATGTATCATGGGGCTGGGTACAGAGATCAGTGATGGAACACTTGCCTAGCTTGTGAGAAGCCCTGGGTTCAATCCCTAGTACTGTCAGAAAAAAAAAAAAAGTACTAAGTAAGATAAATGAATAAAATGTATCATGTTATAATGAGCAAAGCCAAGAGCCAGTTCCTAATCTAGAGCCCTAATAAACAAATATCCAACCCTTCCACTTTATCTCCATGTCTCTGGCTACTTGCAGGTTTGGGATTAGTGTGTTATATACCTGCATGTCAAAGGCCTGCTTTTCTTTTCTTCAGCTTCTCTAGACAGTCAGAACTTTCCAAGTTTCCAGTTACCCCGGAGTCTCTTCAGTGCTGTACCACAATGTTATCAGACAGAAAAGTTTCTTTCCTTTCTCTCCTTCTAGTTGAAAACTGAAGGGCATCTCACATTCACAGCCCTACTCTCTAGAATGTGCCTTTCGGAGACACTTTCTTATTTGCTAGTCTGCCAAGCAAAACATGACATAATTCAGCTGAAAAGTGCAATTAGTGTCTTTCCTCAGAGGAGAAGCTTGATGTGTAACAAAGTGGATAGGCAGATGCACACCTACACAAGTATAAGCCCATAACGTTGTTCTGGATCATCAGGGCAGGATGAGGAGTTTCAGGAGTCAGTCAATCCATCAGCGCTCATCCCACATTGCACCTGAATGCCACCAGCAAGCTGAGGCTGGGCACCGGGACTTCTGCTACCAAGCTGAGGCTGGGCACCGGGACTTCTGCTACCAATCCCAGAACATCTGTCCACATTTGAGACCTCATTTTCTTTCTTTCATCCTTTGTGTGTGTGTGTGTGTGTGTGTGTGTATTGGGGGGAGAGGTATAAATTCAGTCTCCTGAGGTTTGGAATTATAAGTGTGAACCACCATACTTGGCTCCCACTTAACTCTTCAATGGAACCTACTTCACATTCCCTGCAAGAATCTACCAACGAGTACACACACAACTCACATCATTAATCCTAAAGGTGAAACCTGTTCACACACAATAGTGAGGTTTCTCAAACTATAAGCTTGAAACATCCAAATAAGCCTTCTCTCAGAAGAAAAGAAAGTTAGTATATCCATAAGTTATTCATTAATTTATTCATATATCTAAGAGAACCTACTACATGTCAGGCACTGGAAACACCAGCCGGTGCAGAGAATCTCCACTTCACGTTAAACAGAGAAACGAGGAGGGCCCCCGGGCCGCCAGTGGCTGGTGCCCATACGGCTTGGGAAGACGCGGACCAGGTGAGCTTCACGGTACTGCGGTAGCCCCACAGACAAGCATGGGCCAGAGCAGCATAGCCCCCTGGACAGACTGACCTCCACCCGGGAAAAAAAGAGAAACTGAGTACTAAGCAATAAGAACAGTTAAGACACAAGGGAAAGAGGGTGGGGCGCCCTGAGCGCTGAAGATTGGGGGAAGGGAATCCTTCCCAGGACTGTAAATAAACAAGCTGGGCAGGCCAGAGAGCCTCTGGCAGGAGCGGGGCGCGCCCAGCAACCAGGAGCGGGGAAGCTTGTGAGAGGAGGGAAGACCCACTTCCCACGTGAACTATAAACAAACATGGCGGCTGGCAGGAGCAGCAGCACCGCCCAGTAAGCAGGAGCAGGAAAGCTTGTGAAAGTGGCAGTGGAAGGAAAACTTCAGAGGAGAGGGGGGAAGACCACCTCTCACATGAACTGTAAATAAACACGCAGGCCTGACAACGTGGGGCAGTGCACCTTTCCAGTGCTTGGAAAGGGGAAAGCCTGTAGCAGAGGCTCCCGCACGGAGAACTCTGAGCAAACAAAGCCTGTGGGACCATGAGTTGCTAGCTCCACCCCGAGATCTGCATAAATAACGGCCGCCAGTACAGGCTGAGAGCGAGGCAGGCAGGGCCAGCACAGTTGCAGATACCTCTCCAGAACTGTTCTCCGACGGCTTTTTTTTTCTTTTTTCTCCCTACCTTTGGATGAGAGAACACTTTATGCATCCCCTTTGATGAGACAACTACAGAACAACATCTGAGGCACCAACTCCAGGACTGGAGATTGAGACGGACACCCAAATTATTAAGACTGAAACTGCATTGCATATAAACTTGGAAGTTTTTTGGTTTTTTTTTTTTTTAATTTCTATTTTCCATTTTATTTTAATTCATTTTATATATAGATATTACTTTCATTTACTTATTTTTTATTTTTTTATCTTTGATTTTCAATCCTCTGTCTCTCTAATGTCTGTTCAGCTTACTGTCGATTAGTACACTAACACTCCCTGTTTATACCTTTGAAACTCTCTTGTCTGATACCTTGTTCTGCCAAAAAGAACAAAGAGAACTGCAAAAACAAAGACGGAAGGCCAATAACCCAGCAGAATAGAACAAACAGAAGACAGAATCTCAGAACTTGAAGATGAAATGGTAATTAAAGGAAAAACTGAAGAACTATTAATTAAACAACTCAAGACCTGTGAAAAGAAAATGCAGAGAACTCACTGACTCCATCAAAAGACCAAACTTGAGAATCATGGGCATCGAAGAAGGAGAAGAGGTGCAAGCGAAGGGAATGCGTAATATATTCAACAAAATAATAACGGAAAATTTCCCAAATCTAGAGAAAGATATTCCCATACAAATGCAAGAGGCCTCCAGGACACCAAACAGACCAGATCAAAATAGAACTACTCCACACATATCATCATTAAAACAACAAGTTCAGAAACTAAGGAAAGAATATTGAAGGCTGTAAGAGAGAAAAAAACAAGTAACATACAAAGGTAAACCATCAAAATCACAGCAGACTTCTCAACAGAAACATTAAAAGCAAGAAGAGCGTGGGGTGAGATCTTCCGGGCACTGAATGAAAATAACTTCAACCCCAGGATACTCTACCCAGCAAAGCTATCATTCAAAATAGATG